GCAGCTCTTTGATGTGATCTGGATACAATCACCTATATAGCACATTAACGGTGACTGGCCCAGTTCTAGTTTCGCCGTAGAAGTTGGCACGAAATTGTAAACTGCCCTCTTTACTAAAGGCGCTAAATATCCAAATAGCATTGTACTATAAAATTATCTTCTTCGCCATCTGCTGCTAAACATGGCAATCTGTCCGCTCATCCAAACTCGCATGTTATCAATTTAATTTACGAGTAAAGCTCTTCGTTGTGAATTATATTAAACAGTTGTTGAAAAAGATAAAATGTATCTTTCTACTTAACTCTGAATGAGTCACAAGTTTGTCTGCTGTCGTTACAGATTCGTGCGTATTATTGTCCTTTAGGTACTTTAAAATCGTACACAAGGACGCCTAAATTCGCTCGGTAGATATTTCCGGATCGAATGAAAGTGTCTCCGGTGAATCAGACTTTTTTAAAATGTACGACGTAATTCCCTGTCAGTTGCCTAACGTGATCCCAACATTAAAAGTCTGGACATTCTGTGAATTATTGGCACTCTTCCTTAAGTAAAGTAAAGGTATTTTAATTTAGGTGTAGGTACCTGTTTCATAAACATAGCAAATCGTTTAAAAAAAGTATTCCCTGTTAATGACACATTGCAAAAGTTTCCGTGAGTCGATGTAACATTTCAACGTCTAGAAGCGTTAACCGACTTTGTAGACAGACATTTGCCTGCTTGTCATGTGGCTGCTCATAAATCGGCTCGCTAATAGAATAAGTGTCGGTCCGCGGACAGTTTCCGCGAGGTGTCACCACGACTGACGCAATCGGAGCGGTCTGCGGCCCGTCCCGACGCCAAATCGAAAACATATTAAAGCCACCGATCAAAGAGAGCTTTCCCTCGCTCACCAGATTTATGGTATTACCGAAATGTTTTGTAGATCGCGCATTACGTTAAACAAGGATTACGAGACGTCTAAATAAAATGTGCATTAAACCGCTCGTGGTAAACTTATGTGACACTGGCCAGAGATTTGAAAGATCTCGAATGAAAATGTATCGGATCAGGAACGTATCCAAGTCCCCGGATTAAGGACAGCTACTGACATTTATGGTATTATCTTAAGTATAACATTACCAAACTGTTTTGATATTAGTTGCGAGGTATTAATTTATGGATCTTCTGTATCTAAAAATGAACACGACCTATGCAAAAGCAATGTTACAAATTTTGTACGGGTCATACAAACATGTTGATTGGTACAATAATGCTTCTTTACAGCACTGTTTTTAACTTTTGAACATATTGGTAAAGGAACATTAAGTCGCTCCAAAAAGAATAATTGTCGTTATTCAGTAAGGGTAAATCCCACAACAATTACTTGTTCTAATCAACCGTAATGTTTCCTAATGAAGTATTGTTAGCTTTGTGCCATCTAATCGATGGAAATGAACTGGATGCGGTCATCAGTCTTCAGATGGAAGTAAAAAACTATTCGAACAACGACCCTAAGAACAGTTCAGTTATTCACATATTCAAGTTTTTTGTTCGCATTGTTTTATTTCGTGTTTTTGACCGCAAACTTTTTTTGGTTAATTTAGATAAATTCCACAGCAATCATAAGCATGACTGTGTTTCCATTACTCAAGAATCTTTTTTCGTTACAAAAATATGTTGGATATTGAACACGATTATTCTCTGGACTAAAGTTTAAACCTCGCCACCAAGCTAGATCTCCAGATGTTCGCATCCAACCACTACCACCATTTTGCAAATTAATATCGTCAGTCTACCTTGCTGGAGGGTGCTTACATCTGTCCAATCCCAAATCCCAAAACCGTAAAAAGAATCTTTCTTTTATCTATCCCTAGTTCATTAGCTAATCGCGTCTGAAATGTAGGTATCTTCATTTTTAACTAATTAAATAGAGATAGGAATATAATGCCAAATATCTATTCTCTGAACAATGTGCTTTTAAATTTTGATCTTATCGAGACGTAAAACAGCTAAGGATTACATATTGATAGACAAATCTCAATGAGGCCATCATCATTGAGGAATCTCTCCCCTTATCTTTCCGTTGCGTAGATTGCGCCAGAATAAAATGTACAGTTTTCGATTTTAATTTTATAGTTCATCGAAGTTTGCACTCGTAAAATGTAGCGTGTTAGTCACGATCTCCCAACAGGCGCTCGATCTGTTAACGAGTTTGCTCCCGATGCCTTTTCTACGCCCCCTGCTCGTTAATTATCACTTGTGTAACGCAATTAGCCACTTTCTGTTACATGCTGTTCATTAACGTATCGCCGTAGTTACTAGTGTAACTCGTTCGTTGTCTACCCGTTGGGTTTTTGTAAATTCAGGACACTTTTAGTATCTCATTGACATTTTTGTTTTCTCACTCAGTAATCTTTTCTGACGTTGTGCTAGGTAATTCGAAGTTCAAGCGGATTCTAGCATCGTAAAGAGCATCGGTCATAAATTATTAACATTTCCTTTTAGCGTTTTTAAAACACGAGGTCTAGTTGCGGATACTTAAAACAAATACTTCGTTCTCCACTTCCGCTGTTGAGATTTATGCGTTGGATTATTCTGAGCTCTGTAGGACTGCGTAAGTTACACTCCGGGTGTAATGAGCTATTAAAGCGGTAGAGTTGGCACGCTGAGCGCTGCACTATACTGTAAGGGCACGTGGTACTTGGTGGTGGTGGTGTAGTTTGTTGTCACAGCCTCCTCCTGGTGTTGATTGAAAACATTAGGTCCGAAGAGATTATTTCGAACTGTTATTACTTTTAAAAACTTCTTGCGAACCTAAAAACTTTTCATTTCGTGCTGGGCAGCTATCAGCGATGGGCTGACCTGCGATGCTCTGTACCTTGAGGGAAGCCTATTTCTATATTGATCTAAAAGCTACAGTTGGATTAGAAACTGTAGAAATTGTTTAAGTTCAGATAAAAGTCATCTTCATCGAGTCAGCATTGAATGTACGTAGTGATGTTGTACAACGTATTTACTCTCACGTAGGTAGATCCTGACTAATATGTTTACTATCACACAACAACAAGCTGGTGTAACCAGGTGGGCAGCATTGCTGCACTCGCGTGCCACTACCGTCAGAGCGGGCTTCATTTTTGGCGAGTTCTTCCAATAACAAGCCCAAGTGATGTGACACTTTTATAGACTTTAACACATGTCACACTGTGATGGCAACACGCATTTACGTCGGACCTACGTTGTTTTTGCGCACTGCACATTGGCCTGGCGATGCACGGCGCAATCGCAACTATGAATTAGGGCTGCGATGCTGCAATCATTGGTCCCTAATTTATCGCAGCAAGCGGCCACGCGAACATCAGCCGCGCGGCGCGCGTCATGTGACGCAAGTGCATCGTCGGCGCTGCTGTATGTTTACAAGCCAAACGAAGTTTACAATCATCGATAACCTGTAAGTTATGAATCAAAGGAAGCTAATCGAGCGCAAGCGAAGCGGGGTGCGGTCGAGCGAGTGGAGCGGAGTCGGTGGTAGTGCGCGGTGCCGGGTGCAAGAGCAGCGCGTGGGCGCGGGTCGTCGACCGCTGCACAGAGCGCGGTGCGCGCCCTGCCAGCGAAAACGGCAGAAAACCTCGCGAAGGGCGGCAGCACACGGTGTCCGCATTTAGCTCGGGCTGACGTGGCTGAGTCACCGGTCCGCGAATAGCGGCGGTTTGTTTGTTGCAACGGCCGCTCCCGGCTCTCCCGCCGAGTATTTCGAGCGGGCGGCGTGCAGCGCACAGTCCTGCGCGCTGCGTCCCCGCGAGTGCCCGCGAGGTCCGCCATGCCGCCGCTGCCCGCGCGCCTGCGCCGCCAGCTAGACGCGCTCGACGCGTGTGACGCCGGAGCCATCGTCACCACCATCAGGGACACAGTCAGCTGTAGTTGGATATTTTACAGTGAGTGTCGCCCCCGCGCGCCCGCCGCCGCACCGACCTCGCGACGCTCCGCGGAAAGCCTCGACCACCCCTCACCGTGGATCACACTCTATATTAGCGTGTTTCCGAAACTCCTCGTTTGTTCTGACGCTGTTCAGTGAATTTTATTTTTTTTTTATTCGGTTTACTTTGCGGTTTTTATCGTTTTGTGTGAATATTCCCGGAAAAGTTATTTCTACGTGTCGAAAAGTCTAGTGGTATGTGAACTGAAAATTTTGAGTGTATTTTCATATTTAAACTATTCAAGTGATATAACGGATTATTGAAAAACGCGTAGTATAGATGTAAACATCTCTTCACTTCCGCGTTGAGTGAACTGTCCAATACGTATTTTATAGACGAAAAGCGGATTCTCATTGGCTTAAATAGTGAATTAATTAATAAAAAAAGGATAGAGTGGTTACAGAAACAGACGTGGTAGAACAGACAGTATGCGTCGATAGTGTTGTACGAGGCCGCAGCACTATTGTATCGATGATGAATAGCTTATCAACGCCTTGTTAGTGCGCTGCTGCCATCTATTTGCGGGAAAAGGAATCATAATGTTGAAAGCAAGAAATCTAGGTGAAGCGTCTGACATCAGCAACTCGGGAGTAAATTTAACTCTTGACGTATTTAACCGTGCCGTGGGACTGCCGCCGATTCCTCCAAACATACGGATTGTTCTCGCATTGGCTCCCATTAGACGATCATTGTTTTAATTGCGTCATTGAATCGCGCGCGGCATCATTATTATTAGTGGCGTATGCGTCTTACGATACGTAATATTTTGTTGCTACCACTATTTTGCTGGTGAAATGTATGTTTAGCTGTACTGGCTCCTGGTTGACGTAGTCTGAGCTTCAGAACACGGGTTTTTGTTATTTGTAGGTACCTATCTGTAGACATTTATGCCGACAATTTTGTTAATAAGCGTTCGGATAAAGCAATACCTGCTACAGTGCGATTTCCATTATTCCAAAGCGACTGCAGCGCTTCATTTTCTTATATTTTTTATGCTTCTCTTTATAATAATTATCTTTCTTATTCAGTGTATTGTTTGTTGTGCAGGTAACAGTAGTGCGTCGACAGGGGGCGAAGGCGCCGCGCCGCCGCCCTCGGAGCCCGACCCGGCGCTGGACTCCATGCACATGATGCTGGACCCGCACCTCAGGCCTATCTCCCCGGACCTCAACAACGAGGAGTCCAAGAGAATATTCGAAGAACACAAACAACTTGCGCAGGAGTACCTAAAGGTAAGATATCTTTTAATGAGCTTTAACAGAATCATAACAAGTTCGTCACTAATCGAACTAGAATATAAAGATAATAAATATTCAGTACTCAGTTCCTAGTTAGATTTCTGTAGAGAATTGTATATGTAGTTACTAGTTATTTACACATTATTAGTGTTTTGTTAAGTGTTGGGTGCACTATATATTTGTATGTACACTAATGACTGCGATACTTGTGTATACCAACATTACCAAATAGTGCAAACCCTAATATCAATGTATGATTTTATATCACGGCAAAATATTAATACCGTGACATATCTTACCGAAAATTTGATCATACAAAAGTGGTCTCTAAACATCAGAAATAATGTCTATAATGGAGTTTGTGATGAGCGGCCACAGCTAAGACTTCAGATGAAGACATAGGTTCGTTTATAAATACTGAAATTAAAAACCTATTAATGAAATCTTTTGTAATAGCAGTTTTTGGTCTGAGCTCTTAAAAACAAGCAAGCAATTTTGTTAGCATCGCTACTCCCTAATTATGTTTAGAAAATGGTAAAAAAAGGTGTAAATATATTCCTCGTGTCGATAGCTATAGCGAACCCCGCTATAGCGAATCTCATTATATTAATTAGCTCACTGCCAAACACGTTGTATAACCACAAGCTATCAAAGATATTTCGGAACTGAAAATATCAATTTATAAAATTCCTGGTGAGATTGTGTGAGCCACAGGTTTTGTTAGGCACATGTTTAAACCTCTAATATAATAACTAACACCCGAATATTGAAATGCTTCTCAATTTTTAGTGGTGTTTGAATATTTGAATATCGCTTATACTTGAGATTTCAAAATAAAGTTTTTATACGTCAACAGTTATTAGTCTAAACATAAGTAAAATAATGTGGGAGAAACTAAGTTTTCTTAGCCAATTCGCGTCAATCATCACAATAATACTCCCTGACCACCATACCTTATATCACTATCGTACGACGTAGTTGTGGTCACCTAATAACAGGGAGCTGGTCAAAAATCTCTGACGCCGAAAGGCTCTATGAACACTATTTTTCTATATGTGTCGATCCACCCTAATAACACTTAACTGACTCTCGTCATTAACAGAAGAGTTCTAAATTTCTTTTTTTTTATAATTTCAGATACAGACTGAGTTTGCGTACCTCAGCAACCACAAAGCAGAGCTAGAGGAGAAGATGGACGACGACGAGTTACGGCAGAAGAGAGAGATTATACAGTTAGAGAAAGAAAAGGTAAATAATATCTTATGCTAAGATTTAAAGAAAAATCTAAAACTTCTCATACATGGGATTTTTCTTATGTAATATCAAGATCAAATTATTATCGACTGCACGGTTGGTGCGGTGGCTGGGCAACCAGCTGCCGTGCAACGTGTCGCGGGTTCGATTCCCGCACGGAACAACACTTTGTGTGATCCACAAAATGTTGTTTCGGGTCTGGGTGTCTTTGTGTATGTGAACTTATATGTTTGTAAACGCACCCACGACACAGGAGAAAATCCTAGTATGGGGCAATGTTTTGTTTAAAAAAAAATTATTTCTTGTTTGTAATAATTTGGTATTACAAATTTAAGCTTTATTTATCCCTTATTAATCTATAGAGAAAATCAAGCCAAGTCGTGCTATATTTGTCTCTCTATTTTCATAAAGGACTCAAATGTCGATTGATACTCGTAACTGTCGCAAAAATATACTATAAGTTCAATAAAAATGTATTCCAGGACTCATTGATCAAGCTATACTGCAGCCTGAAGAAGCAGTTGGCGCGTGCAGAGAACGACAGCTGGCTACATCCAGAGGAGATGCCGCACGAGTGAGCGCGCCGCGCGCCGCTCCCGGGGACCACTGTGACGTGCACCATATGTGTCATTGATCTCAACATACCAAATGAGCCTTCGACTTTTCGTTCTCTCCTTATTTACAGGTTTAGTTTATAATACATTATACACGTATATTTAATAACACTTGTACTCGACAATAACAGTGTTTACGCGGCAGTATAAACTTGTATCACGTCATCAAACGGCGCGACGTTTTCGTCATGTAATTTAGTCCACGCGCAGATGCCGCTTCAGTACATGTATAGTACCGTCATGTATAGTATAGTTTAGTAACCTTGACATTGTATCAGTTTCGTTATTTTACATAAACTTTTCTTTACATCTTCACTAACTTTACCACCGTAAACAACTAATGTATTTGTCGTTTTAAAAAAAAGCACGTTTTAGTGCTTTATATGTGAGTGTTACCCAATATATTGAAGTAGTTTGTCATACTTTTATACGAGAGTATAGAAATGTTATTGTGTTTATGCAATATTGTTTTATCTCATTTGATCATTTTATTAAAGAGTGTGGTATGCATTTGTTTTGATTGTATAAATGTAAGATAGTATATAGCAGTATTAGATAAGTTAAATTATGTTAAGTTTAATAAATTTTTGTGAAATATCTGTTGTTTTCATTTATCGAATTCTTAACAAGCTAAAGAAGTATAAATAAAACTCTTCACAGAAATAGATACAACATCGCTATTCGTTTTATTCGGGAGATGCACAAATAAGCGGTGTGCCAAAATTAGACTATTCACCACATGCCAGTATTAATAAAGCCAAACACTGAAGCAAAACAAACAAACGTGCAATATAACACAGTTGCATAGTATATATCATAATTGGAACATTTATGGGCATTTTACCTTTTGACCGCCATAGTGTGAACGCATCGCCGGCCCTCCCACGCCAAGCCACAAATTCAGCGCAAATACCTACAAAAAATAGGGATTCCAACATCTCATCGATAACCAATTAATCGTTGCTTTTCGCCCCATATTTTGTAAATAAAATACTTACTACTCATAACATCATTCTTTTATTTGTTTTGAATTATACTATCATTAAAAGCAGTAGCAAAGTTTTTAACATATAACTAGACTAGAAATACAAATGTATAAATCAAACAATAAAAAGGTGCACCCATAGTCTCGTTCGTGACGTCGTCCGCTGTCGGGAAGAGCCGTCTCTGACGTGGCTGGCACACCTTTTGACAACTGCTTCGCATGCGAATAGGGATGGGATATTGCGGCACATAATAAATAATCATCAGAGGTCGGAGTAGGTAGTTTGATTTAAGGTCGTTGACGTGAAACGTAGAGGATAAAATAGAGGTAGATATGCCACACATGCATGATACGCCGTGATTACAATACTCTGGTTTACTTCTTTTGCGAGTTTGTATAAGGCGTATGACTGCTTAGTTAGTCGCTTACATATAGTATTTGTGTGAGTTTTCCATGACATGTATCTGTCTAGTTTTATTCCTAGGAATTATGTGGATACTGTTTCTGCAAGTATTTTGTCTTTGTATATAATGTCAAGTTTATTATGATTAGTTTTTTGTTCAAATGTCATTATTTTAGTTTTGTCAATGTTTTTTTTAAATTATTTTCGGTCATCCATTCTATTAATGATTCTAGGCATTGATTTATCTCTGTTTCAAGTGTTAAGTCATTATTATTTGTACTGAAGACTACTGTGCTTTCATCTCCAAACAAGACCATTGGATGACCTGTTATCTTAGGCATTTCATTAATATAAATTATAAATAATCGGGATCCCATAATGCTGCCTTGTTTCCACAAGGTAGACAAAATTAATATCTCTGGAGGGAACTCCATAATTATTTTGTCTCTGATTGACTGTATGACTGACTGACTTAATTTTATTTATTTGTGTAATCTGTTTTCTATTTGATAGATATGATTTAATAAGGTTGAGGGCATTACCCTTCACTCCATATCTTTCCATTTTATTAATTAATATTGTGCGATCTACAAAATCAAACGCCTTGCTCATATCCATGAGTAGAGCAGCCAGGAGCCACCGGATTCCTCTTATCTACATTCATGATAATTTTTTCATATAATTGTAGAATTGCCAAATAATGTTCATCTACAAAAAGATTTTTATTTTCAAAGAATGAGTACAGTATATTACAGATTACTTTTTCTAGAATTTTGGAAAAAAATGGAAGCAATACAATAGGACGATAATTAGCTGGGTCCTGTTTGTTTCTACTTTTATTAATGTTACTTAAACTTTCACAAACGCTCCCTTTATTAAATCCTATCGAAAAAAATGTAATGTATGAATAGATCACATGAGAGATCAGTCATTTACTTTCTCAAATATTTGAAGCTCAGGTACTTTATTTCGTGAAAATACTAAAGCAGGTGATTTTGTTTCATTGATTAATAAAGTGTACCTACCGATTTAATCATAGTTTCGTTAGCAATCAAAGCATGCTGTAAGAAATTGATTACAATGCAATTTTCATAGCAACTGTGTAAGTGAACGTAAATTATTAATTATTGTTGATTACGATTACAATCAAAACGAATCAATGAATTATAATTATCTTTCATAATTACTGGTCATTAGTTATTGAGGTACAAAATAAATAAAAAAAGATATCAGTCCAAATAATTTATTTCAATTGTCATAGTCACAATATAGATTTTTTATTTATTGGAATGGTTGAATGAACATTTAAAAAACAATAATTGATGATTAATTTGGCACTTCTGGTTATTAATCCATCAATATTTGTTGAGATTCGAACCTTAGACAAATAAATGCTTTTATGATGAACACATCGTCATTGTTTTTGTAAGTATTTATTATGGACGATTCTTGGCGTAACAACTTATGTACAATAATTACAATAATCGTCTACATGACTACAATACTGGGCCGCGGCGCCCGCGACGTACCGAGCCCGCACTCGCACTCGACTGCCCGCTTCGGCGCGGCCGTGAAAATAAAACGTTAAACAATATACAAACAGTGTCGGCTGAACAGAAATCCTTGGGAATCTATATTTACTGTTTATTTCAATTGTATATTTATACAACTTTACTGTGATGTACTGTATACAATTTAGGTAAATAAATAAACTCGCGAATTTTCTAATACTATCATAAATTTACATTTTATTTTTTTACTTTACATAGTGATATGATCTTACGTTTATTAAATTTATGAAATAAATAATAATAAAAAGCGATATAACTCAAATCACTAACCAATTTAAAATACATCCAAAATCATGTACAGAAATAATTCGGCTTCGAGAGGAATTATCTCGGCCCTTTGTGTTCAACCAAATCTTTAAATTATACAAAATGCAATAACATTACGCCACATAAATAACATGCCACTTATTATGACGCAACACGTCTAATTAAATATAATTTCGTTGTCAGGGCCCGATGTATTATGATAAACTATATTATATTAAATTATACAGGAATGAAATTTGCTAAAACGTCCACTTAGCTACAGTTTTTAAATACTAATATGAGAAAACCATAACAAAGGCAATTCCATCAAGCCTTTCAAATATGATATAGATACACTAAAATATTTTCATTATTATTTATAACTCCTATTAATAACGCCATATTTTGAAACATCATAAAAATAATTAAGGCAACAGTCGCTTTAAAAATAAAGAGCTGTTGTTACATGTACAAGACGAGGAAACGTTTTGTGGATGTAACAGCGAGCTCACGAAATAGTTTCCTTAGCTACATATAATCTCACACTTGAATAGTTCGCATAACACATAAGAGGGCGCCACGCGCGACTCACGCGGCTCCAGTAAACATAACGTACGTAAACTAGGTCTAACTGGACAAACGTATGAAAGTATTCTCCGGGGGGTCAATGGCCGCACAGAACCTAACACTTTGTTACAAGTACTACAATATAACGAAGATATAACATTAACGGATAGTTGGTGCTACTTGAAGGCAGCTCGTTACTCTAGCTTTACTAACAGAATCATCACATAAAGCCGCGGTATCACACCACACGCTTACGACTGTTCCCTACGAGCTAAGAGTACTAGAAGACAACGAGACAGAACAGTTAAGAGATATGGTCATGTACTTACTCAAGTGAAATATACAGTATAGAAAATAGTGTATAATTATGTTAGAACAATTGTAAATGCCTTTCAGACTGAGAAGTGACAGAATGAATCTGAAAATACTTGAAAAATTATATAATTATTAATGTATAACGAACAAGAGAAACTATTGTATACATATAGACAAACATTAACTATGTCATAACATTACCTAGACTTAACTGGTCATGGAATGGAGTATTCTGCGAACACCAGAGCTATTGCGCGTGCGCATATTACCAGTTATTTTAGTAAATTTAAGTAACTAAAGTCTACTAATGGCTCGTTCGTGGCCTCAACCACCAATCACCACGCTTCACTACAGAATACACTAGCTTTCGACAAGCAACCAAATATAGTGATTCATAACTATATAATAATATATTTTTAATAATAAATATCTCTCGCATTAACCTCTATTCAAACAATAAACAAATGTCAAACGAAGCACACAAACACATCTGACGCAATACTAAATTGAGCAATGTTTACAGGGAATACAACAAATTACAGCTTTCATAATGTATTGTCAACAGTTCTCGGACCACGTGTCGTTACATTACATCTAATACATATAAAATTTTCAGTTATAGGAATTAGGAATAAAATCTGATATCTAACGAGAGGGGAAGACTGGTATGGTCAATCGTTGTCATTCCTGAAATTGAGAGAAAAGTTCAATTAGTTTAGGCATAGAGTTGAATTTCGTTATATAGTAAAAATCAGCGCCACGAATTAATTCATAGCAAAATTTATATGTGTTGGTAATAAAAAATATTCTACTACTTTTACTTTTACTACCAGCTAACTTAAGTTAGTTGTTTGTTGCACAAGTATGACAGGTACAAAAACTAATTACATATGTACATAACCAACTCAAGGTGTAAGCCATGAAACGGGTATTTAAATATAAATGCAATAAATAACGTTACTTATTTTATTCTAACGGCAGAATAAAATACAACACATGACATAAAGTTAGTAAGCACACATTATAAAGGTAACAACAGCGTAAAGAATCAATTGTTCTACATTATATAATATTTGTTCGCGTGTAACTTTCTGAAGGACTGCAACAAATTGATAATATTTTTGACGTATTAGACATTCTTTGAACAAGATTTATGACTTTGTATGAAAGAAAAAATGCTTAGTAACCTCGGGCTAACAGCTCTGTTGCGAAGTCAGGCGTGAACTCATAGTTATAACATATTTATTGTATTAAAACACTTCGAAACAATCTGATGTTTCTAACCAAAACTATTATCACGCTAAACGAACCAGTTCATCATAAGCATTAAGGGCAAATGGTAATCACTCTATGTACAATACTGGTATACAGCCGAATCTGTTTAAAAACTATACGAAAAGGGACATGAAATTAAGACCATGGAGGTTCTAACTTGGAAGGCATGCATAGTCCAGAATAAACGAATAATAACTACTATTACATTAGGTACGACCTACTTTACATAATGGTGATATTAACGGTAAGTACATATTGAATAATGTTAATTCTGTGTTAGACAAATATGCTTGAATTAGAAAACTGGTTATAACTGATAACACTGTTATCCTTTGTACCCACTAGAGGATTATAGTTGTTTTAAGTAATATGTAAAGCAAGCCAGTGCCACTTCCGTACTAATGCTAATATTCGTATTTTCTTGTATTGCCACTGTTTGTAAGAATAAATAGTGTATGTACCTGATGGTATACGATCACTAGCTGGGCTGGTGCCTGGCCTGCCACTTGAAGTCGACCTGCATGAGCCACTGCTGCCCCCGCGATCGGTTGCACGGCCTCAGTACCGGCTTCCACACGTCGCCCGCCTCCGGCTTGTCTAAGCACATGCCTGTGTTCGTGTGCTTTATTGTTCTCGTCTGAAATTCAATACATACTCATGTTAATAACCAAAGGCCCAACCAGTGAAACTTCTGTAATAGATTTACAACCTTATCTTTTTGCAATAAAGTTAAAAATACATTAATCCAAGACAGCTGAATATACAAGCTAGTAGTTTTAGTATTGTGTGATTACCTTCGAATCATACGTCCACTCCTGGTTGCCTCGCATCCCGTGGCATCGGATCAGCTTAATGGGGCCTCGCGGGTGTGCAGCGTCCAAGCAGTTGTCGTCAGACATTATCTGCTTACGCTTCGTGTACGCAAACACCTGTATACAACAACGAATACAGTTTCTATAATATAATACTTATACTAATTGAAATAGGAGGCATTTTAGATTGAATTTCGCAAGTAAGAGACAGTCATGCTTCATTCTGTATGGGTCAGTTCGACTGAAGTGATATCACGGTCTCATAGAAAACCAACGTCAAACCACCCTTGCGTTGTGTTTAGCCGAGTTAGTGAAGTTGGAGCTGGAGTTTTGAGAGACGGGTTGCGTCTCTCAAAACTCAAAAGGCTGGCAACGCAATCGTAATTCTTCTGGTGTTGCGGGTGTCCATGGGCGGCACCAATTGCTTACCATCAGTTGATCTGTATGCTCGTTTGCCGCCTTCTTCAAAATCAAAAACTTATTTTTATAAAAAGTCGGTTGACACTAGGGACCATGCAGCAATTTGTATTTGCTTCATTCTAGAGACATTTTCACAAAGAAAATTATACAAGTACATTGTTAACATTTTTTTGTCCAATAATAATTACTTCACACACCTATACAAGAACATCAAGCTTAATTTTCTGTAAAACGATACGATATCTACATACGCATACATACATAGTATACATACACACACGCACGCACTGTGTGCAAAACGATAATTTGTTTCAGTACAAAGCAAGATCCGATTTGTACGGTGGCCAGCAGGTCGAGCTATCATTTACTGTCAAATTACTCCATTACATTTTCAACTTTATTGTATTGACATAAAATCGAAAATCCAATGAATAAATTTGACAGACTGGAGTAGCCTGATCTGCCGGCCACTACAAACACAATATTGGCTCTATTCTTCTGAAGATTCAATCTAAAAGTTAAGTTAGTAATCGTGCTTATAAAATGATCAGCGTGTTATGTTGGAGGATGATTTCCTTTATTTATTTATGAATTATAGGAAAATATACGTTCCCAATTACAAAGAATATTATTTTACTTCAAACTTTGAGGAAGCAAAAGAGGTATGTAAGAATCGTAGCAATTGGCGTTCCATAGTCAGGGAGAGAGGTGTGAAGTATGCCTAAAATCTCTTGTTAATCGTGTCGTGGCAAGCGCAACTGGACCGCAAGGAATACTTAACACAACCCAGGAATCAAACTCGCCAACAGTTGATCAATGAAGCGCGCATTCAATGCTACTAGCAAGAATTTCGAAAGTCTTGATACCATCTTTAAATTCTCATTTATATAGTTCTCACTTATAGCCTATAGCAATGTTTAGACATAAGTAGGTATACATAACAGAAATCTAAGCAACATAATAGAAACTTTACTGTTGCTAATAGTGCCATTGAATTGGATAATTAAGCATTCGATACGTCATGTAAAAAGAAAAATAAACCTTAATTTCACAGAAATGAAATTCATATTAGCTTGCTAGTTAATGCAACTGCAACGGTCATTTGTAACTGTGGAAATAATTGTCAAAACATTACTGGTTTAGCGATGTAATGTTTTGATAGCATACTGTGTACTTGTGTAGCTGTACATTACTATACACAAACATAATTATTAATTACACTTCAGTTTATTATTATTATGAACATTCAGCTAAATTGAACAAACTTGATTCAAGTATTCGAATTAAGTAACTGAATATACTTGATGCAGGGCAGATTTAGCCAACGGCATATAAATTTTATCAGAGGAATAATTTTAAACATTTGACAATTTTTCACACTAAAAACTGTCAAATGTTAATTTTATTCTACAGATAAAAGTTATCTTTGGATTTAACAAAAAATCTTTAATAAACTACGTTTAAAGGAACCGACTACAACCGTCCCAAGTCCAACAAACACCTTTCTAAAAACCGCATCAATTTCTTTTTAAATTATTGAATTTGGTTCAAAATCGGCCCTAAAGGTCATGCGCTTTATGCGATAGAGATGGCAAGATTTTGATAAATTTCAATTCAGATTTTGACAAATTCAGAGAGCTTTGTAATGAATATAATCAATCGGGTATACCAACTATAATTTCATATTCCTTTAACAAACGGCTTACATAAAAATGTGAAACAAGTAAAGAGAGTTAAAGAAAACTTATCAACATCTAAAGGAAATAAGAGATGGAAGCTTATTTACTTCTATTTAATGTGTTTTCCCAATTACTTTTATAGGGCATATAGATATGAAAACTCCAAAAAATGTCTACTTATGCAATGCATTTCCCTAAAGTATCCAGTTCCAACATAACAAACGCTCACTTTAACTAAAAGCAGTGCAAATTAGTTAATGAAATAACCTCCCATTACAGCAAACATATGTATGTTCAGATATTTAGTATGACTGTATGACTGTATGTAGGCATGAATTATCGTGTAAACTGTTACAAGCAGTGCAATGTCGAAGCACGACGTAAACACTGTACATAGTGTACAAGCATATACTATACATACTTGATATATTGGTATTTCTGGATTTTTTTCACGTTTCTTTGTCTTCTTTGATTTTCTGGTCTTTAGTTGCAACGAGAGGCAATGTCATTACTTACGAATAATTTAAAATAATTAGGATTGTATAATGTAAGCTAATATTGTAGGGTGTAGCATGGTAAATACAAGCCTACTGGTGTGCTTTTAGTTGACAAAATTAATAATTAAATTAGTTTAAGAATGGAACATTCTTCAATAGAATCGCAAAAGGTCATAAAACGAAGTCAAAGATATCTTAGCAGCTGGGTACACCACGAAAAGGCGTTGTATTCCTCACGTTACACCATAGCCACAGACTATAAATAAATAAAAGTAATTAAATATTAGCTATACACACCTGGTTTCCGCCCATACCGTGACAGTATCCCATGCCGAGCGGTTGACCCGCCTTGCCGCCGAGCGTGTCCAAACAGTTCGAAGTCTCCGCGTTTCGGATCTGCAAACATTCATATTTACCGTCAAACACACGCAACACTTGTATAAACCCAACATAATAATCTATTTACATAATAACATACGTATTACACTATAATATAGGCTAATATGATGAAATTGGGTATTAGCCTAGTAGGTATAACTTTGAACGGAAAGTTACATTATGAGAACGCAAGTCGTTAAAAAATGACATCTACTTACTTGTATTGCTACTTACAAAAATATTTTATAACAGAGACAAGCTAAGGATTTAATAATAATTAGTAAAAACTCTTATTTTGTTAGGACACAATGATCGACTCGGTCCAGGTCGCAACATATTATACTCCATATGCAGTTTGTTTAAAGGTATTTGATCGAGTGTCAATAAATTCTAGTGTTTGTTCTGGTGTCTCTTATAGACTCAAAGGTACTGGTGTAAGTGTCCAAGTAACGTCTAATTTTATCTAACTGAACAAGAAATTTAGAACACTGTTAAATGACTTAAAGGGGGTTTTAACTGTAAGTTAACCAGAGAAAGAGATACTTGATCACAGCCATATTCACTTACACATATAATTTTATTAGAGCACCTATTTAGTGTAAGAATAGAAAATGCGAACTCACTTCTCCAAGATAGTAGTAGTCGAGCGGCATCTGACTCTCCGGGTATATATTTTCGAGGTACCACCTGAAGCTCTTGCACTTGAGGCGCTCGCGCAGCGCCTTGCGCTCGCTGACGTCACCGACCGGCACGTTCAGTGCGCCTGCTCATACCACCATGCAATTACATTACTACGACATACTAACATGTATGATAATACACATAAATATAACAATACTAAGGTCGGTTCTTACGTACTTTCATCGTTCCTCGTATAAGAATTGTACAGAGGATCTGTATTAACATAAACTTCTTCCGTACTATCTGTTACTACGTTATCATTACCGCTTACACTTGGCGAAACATATGTCACGACGGGGCCCACTGTTTTATTATCGTTATATTTCTTTGGTGCTTGAAAAAAAAATATCAAAAGACAATTAAAGTTTCAATCAAGCACTATAGGGCAACCCCAAAAAAAGTAACAATATTTGAACCGTTTAAAATCAGAAGAAACAGTTGTAAATCAATTGGATCGACATGGCAACACTACTGTTAGTTTTAAGCATGAACTGAATACTTTTATCCAATAACAATGACGTACAATACAAATGAATGTATGCGACCAAAAGTTAATGACTTGTTAATTTTGTTAGAGACATGCTGGCAACACTTACTTATGTGTTACAACGACACATGAATAAGTGTTGCAATAAAAAACTTGTATACAGGATTAATAAGTTATAAATGAGTAACACTGTAAATATTGACTAGTTCATGGCATTAACCCTGTATATTATATTAGCTATATACGGACGGACACGCAACATGTAAGATTGACATAAAAAATGTAAATATTTTTCCCACTACTTCTTTGTCCTGTTATCAACACATTTATGATGCCTATTGAAACATACGCTTATCGCTTACCCACCTGTTCTGAATTTAGTCAAGCAAGTACAAATAAAATAAGTGTAGTACGTTTATAAAATGTTGAAAAAGAAAACGGCTACATTTATTTTACTTCCGCAATACTTCACCTTACGAAACGTTCCATATTTTAATTAAAATAATAATTATTATTATTGAGCCAACCTTGAATTCTTTAGGTCAATAAACGGCACTTTTCTAACAAAAAAACGGAATGCAAAAATAAGTAATCAAAACGTGTTGACACTAATTCGTACATTCCGAAAGGATTATGTTGAGTGTCAAAATGATAATTAGCTTGCCCCTCGATGATTCATTTCAAATCATTTATCATTTATTTGTGTTTATTTACATAAAAGAAAATTGTGAACCCAGAATCCAAAAGTCTCAAAATGGCAATGATTCAAAACACAATACGCAACATAGATCATAACAACGTACTGTTTGCGAGCACGCTACATGTTGTACGTTTGACCCCACAAACTCAAGGTTGACTATACAAAAACTAGACTAAATTGAAAGCAGGTGGTTGCACCAGTACCGGGGTTAATATTGTAGTAGAAATGCTTCCAGTCGTCGAGCCAGACCTCAGCGAGGCGCGCGTTGTTGTGGTTGACGACGCGGCCGGTGCCGCCGGGGAAGGAGTAGGGCGTGGTCTTGCGGAACACGTGGCCGACGTGCGAGCACGGAGCTATCTCCAGCCGACCGCCACACATCCACACCTAGCGCGGACCGCCACACCACCCCGTTATGGACCCAAGCGAAGTAGCCAGGACGATTGATTTATTATTATTATTCAATTGTAAACTTGGTCTTGCGATACGCCATAATATGTCATAAATGTTTCTTATTTTTAGCAGTATCCAATTTAGTCTATGGCGCATAAAGGATTACTATTAATTAGAATATTCCGTTTGTGTAGCAAAGACACCTGATTTCCAGCTGAGGACTCCAAGAGCACATAATCTTTTAGTGCTGCTTAGAGTGCTTAGTATCTTTACTGATATACTCAAATCAAAAGTAAATTAATAAAAGAATGTAGCTAACGGCGGTAATCGCAAAAGACCAACGATCAATCAATAGTAAAAATCGGTATACTTTTGTGTCTTCTGATTCTTAAGATTCCGGATTTTCAGCATTTTTATATGTTTATAATTTGGATTATAATCTTATATTTATAAAACCACAATAGTTTTCATTACGTAAAAACTAAACTTCAAATAAGATGAATGAAGCGTTCTTTCTACTGTTATACAAATCTATAACGTTGTTCACGTGGATCAATTGTAGATTTTCCAATAAAAAACATGTCGTTTCATTGTTCTGTAGATCTCAATCGACAAACATTACATGCACTTGTGTTTAACAAAAACGTTTTTTCCTTAAGCGCCATTGAAATTATTAGCATAGCAACATGATAATGATCGAACGTAATTCGGCAAAAACTCAAAATTAAGAGCTAAGTAAAAGTTACAAACTCTTTAAGATAAAATAGAAGACGAACAAAAGTGAACCGATTGACTTAAGACATAGAATTCAAAATTCATTCATCATGGCTACTTATCCGATGTTATTCAACATTTCACACCTGCGAGGGCTACGTCACGCCATTGGTCAATAATTAAATAGAACTAGTTTACAAATGTACACTGGTGACGTTCCCTGCAAGTCTGAGACGCACACACGACAGTCACATGCAATAATGAGAGAATTAATTAAAATTATATCCAAAACTTCAAATTATTGCGAGCGACAAAGTTAATATCACATGTTTAGAGTTAGCACGTGTATTAGTAATTGAACAATCACAATAAAAATATTAATCAACTACTGAGTACAAAAGCACATAATTCTTCCAGGAATCGATGCTAAATTTACCGAAAAGGGGGTTTGGGACACACTATTGAATTGTTGATATGAAAACACGAGTCTTGTTTTAACTTCAATAACAATGGAAGCAATAATAATCCCGCATAATAATAGAGACTACAGGAAGATTTAGTAGTACAGAAATAATTATGCAGGTCAAATGGCCGACCTGCTCATCTAATCTAATAGGAGCGATCGTAACTAAGTAGCCCATTACATAACTTTACATAACACTTGTCGACTCGTATGGTACATACCCATTTCTGGAATTTAACAACAACCTGGTATTATTATTAATCACAAAACACATAAAGGTTTGTAAAACACAAAACAGGAACCGATACGTTAATCTATATTTTCTGCTATTTATTACATTTATTAATTAGCTGTTATCGCAATAACACACAATTCTATTAAGCCATGATAGACGGGTTGCGGGAAATGATACTAATTTCTATTAATAGAATATGTTTCAATGTCAACCACCGACTGAAGGGCCAGAATGTGGCGGCTTAGTAACCGCAAATTGCTGAGTTGCATTATTGTCGAAACCTGGGAGCGCGGGCGCTCGGCTCGCCAGTCGCGTACGTCACACCGCCCTGCTTCGACATTTACATAGTACGTAGTTAGTAATAACGAAGTATTGTGGAACCGAAATTAAAGACATTTATTTCATCAAAATACATTTTCCTTATTCACCAAATAGTACACAAGGACACGCACTACAAGAATATTGCGCGACAAAGAACTAGTATACAATTCTATTGAATTTATGAATAATACCAAAACTTTGTACACTCGTATCATGACCAAGGAAAACATTGTGAAGAAACCTGGACTAAAATTACAGCTTATAAGTTTGAAATCGCCAATTCACATTGAGCAATTGTGGTAATTAATGTGAATTCCTTCTCTATACGAGAAGAGGCTTTTGCTCAGCAATAGGACGGCTAAAAGCTGATGACTATGATCAAACCTCAATTGTGTAAAAATTCCATAAAAAGTAATTACGCAGATGATAACTTAAATGGAGGTAACTTCATGGTACTTAATTATTTGGTCAGTTGGTCTAAATTAATTTTTATCATCAAGGTTCCAACGAATAGTGTAACCAATATTTACTTCACGTAAATACTAAAGTAAATAGTAATGAGTCTCATTATATTTATAAACTACTTGGTATAGTGATAGATAAATTAGTTATTACGGACATATCATTCTTCGCTACCCGTCTAAAAAGGATTGCTGTGGTTAATTCTAGTATTGATTGGAAATATTATTTACCAAAACTCATTGCTTCTGCATCAAGAAGAAGCAGAAATTAACATAAAACATTGAAAGAAAAAGAGTACAGCGAACAAAAGTAAAAAAAGGTGTTACAGGATTAAATCAAAGTAAAAGAAAACTTATTTAATCTGTACGTGATTAAAAACCATGATTCCAAACACGAATTTAATCCTGCAACGTAATAAGAAAAAATAAACAGACACAAAGAGCGGGAAAAACATATAGATTATAAAAAAAGCTATGAAGCAAAATGAATGGAAAGTAAAATGACATGCCCAGACATGAATGCAGCCGCAATGGGGTTAATGTTAAGCTTAACTGGATTATATTATCAAAATGTTAATGATGTAATGTATCAAACTTTACTTTGTTAGTGTTATATCCCAAGCCACAACAAAACTTTCTTCATTTGTACCTTCACTCCTAGCATTTTGCTATATTAACTTACCGTAACTTTTGTACTTAAATTTTGTAATTAGACAACTTCCTTAAGTTGTAAGTCTCTTTTACATTAAATAACTTACGGATTCAAAATGGGAACTCCACTTGAATCTATGTATTTTTATTTTTAGAGTCAAAGTAATTGATGTCAATTGACTTACGTTAATAAAGAAACCACATAGAGTTATAATTAGGACACTACAACTATAAGATAAATCTTTAAGCTTTAATAGGGCAACTGTTTCATCCAGATGTGAACAGATGTGATGTGTTCGGTTTAGTTATAGATTAATTTATATCTATTATCCTCGTGTCGATTTGTTTGTATCCCTTAACGAGAAATAAATCAAGAACTAATTATTAAAGTTTAGTTTACATGAGATAAAACAGAGACGGTCGGTAGAGAAGTGTTCTGGTACAAAAATAGCAAAATGTTAGTAGTGTCGGCACATAGATCCGAGTCGAACCTGGGTTCATGGCGTAATAGAACTCTCCCCACTCGTCCATCCAGACTTCGGCGACGCGGGCCGCGTTGTGGAGGACGACGTTCTGCACTCCGCCGGGGAACGAGTACGGGGACTTGTCGCGGAACACGTGGCCCACGTGCGAGCACGGCACGATCTCCAGTCGGCCGCCGCACTGCCATACCTTCAGCCCACATCACAACATGTACACTTGTAGATACTACATCTCCCCATCATGAAGGCCAATCTCACTATTGTGCAGGACACCTTATAGTGCACAAGTGTGTACGCAAACACAGGTGCACATCACTCTACCTATAGTATCGCCGCTAACTCTGTCTTAAACATTTTTTGGCCATCATTAGCTCTTGTCATGAAAATACTTCTAAAAGAAGGACATGGTACAGTTAGACTATATGTGTTCTAGCCACATCATCAACTAAAGCCAGTTTATTTAAACGTTTAAAAACGTGTTTCATAAACTTACCATATTGGCTCAAATTACATATGATTGAATCACACTGAATATTGATGTAATAAGGTAGTGGGCAGCGCATAGCGAGACACAAGCTGATTAGCAGCCAACTAACAGACTAGAAACTATTCTACATTTGTTTCTCCTTCTTATCGCTCTATGTAAGTGGTTTACCCTGAAACTCATTTCGAGGTTTTCTCCACCCCAAATGTCCATGCCCTGGTCGTAGGAACCGATCTGGTAGAAGTAGTCCTTGTCGATGGCGAACAGTCCGCCCGCCATGGTAGGCGTGCGGAGTGGTGCCGTGCGGTCGCCGCCGCGCCGCGCCATCTCGCGCTCCGGCACGCGATACCTACGAACAAACAATTTAGATACATTAACAAATACTTAATAAAACCTTATCTTATAGATAAACGATTTCAAATCATGTTGTATTTGTACAACATTCAATATTTCCTAGTAAAATGTATTCTGTATCTAATTGATTACAGTGAAATCGAAATTAATTAATGTCCTTTTTAAATCATTTATTTTTATCAATATTGCTTGAATACAAAATTGGTTACCTAAATAGGCAATATTTCCTGTTTATCGTTATTACTTAGTAATAATTTTTAATTTACCGTCTCGAAACTCATGAAAAACCGTAATTGCCGATTACAAATTTAGAATTCCACAAGTCAAGTTACATATTACGTGAAAGTGAAACAAAATATTTAAGCAAGTTTAGCAGATTTATCATTAAAATGCACTGCGCTGTAAAGGTGTTGTATGGCATTACGTTGCCAATCATCACAATCTACGCAAGATCCCTTATTGTACCTATGACTGATGTGACCTTGCTTTTTTATTATTGCCCGAATTTTAAAATACCAACGGTTACTTTTCAATCTATAAGATTGATGATAGATGTTTTGCACTGAAAACGCACAGCCTCCAAGGACGAGACCGCATTCAGCGCTCTGATTGGCCGGCTCCAATGAACCAACCAATCAGAGCGCCGAACGCGGTCTTGTCTCGACTACTTGTGCTTCAGTACGACAAACAAACAAACTCGTTTAGTAAAACAAACTCGTACTGAAGCACGCAAGCTATTTTTTGTGTCAAATTCCTTATATGTTGCTATAAAGTTAAAAATACAGTTTAAATTTTTTTCAGATAGTTATTTAGTCGACTCCTTTTAAAACTTTCGTTACCTACTCTCGACAATCTTTACAATTTAAAAAGAGATATCTTAAAACTTTTCTTATGTACCGTAAATATATAGCCTTTGTAGAAGAAATTCGTTAAGCTAATTGTAACAAGAAATGCAGGCATGAAGCTTGAATGTTCAAATAATGATTAGCAAACGGCGCATGCGACTATTGACGTTATGGTAAACGTATGCGGTTTATCAATTACTAATTAAACAATTCGATTTGGCTGTAAAAATGTACTTTTACTCTTTTTATAGTACGTGTCTTTTTACTTTGTTTTTGACCTACTCTGCTAGGCAACTGAAGTATATTTAGCCGTTTTACGTAAGTACCTACCTAATATACTTATTGGACATGCCTGAATACAATAACTACTAATACTATGGTAGTATATTAACCGCGGATTAGTATGATAAACAACTTGGTCCTTTCAGCTCATAATATTCCAATACTTTTTAGCTAATCTATTCGAACACTATTTCCGCCGACTGGAAAAACATATCGACCTTTTTAGATCAAACACCATTAAGCCAAACCAATTACTTATTGGCTATCACGTGGGATATGGGGACGCGTGAACTTATTAATGAGCGTTGTAATCAAGGTGTTTTCCACCGCGACCGTGTCGGTAAGGAAAACAATGGGACGCAGCTGTTATGTAATCACAATAATCAGCAACAACAATACGTACGTACCTGTGACTCGTACAAGCGCACGCGTCGAACGCGGTTTCAGTCAACTAACATTAAACACAAGATTTAGTTACATGCAACAGAAACGCTTGTTATTATTACCGTGAAAACGAACCTTGTTTTACACCTATTTAGTTCAATACTTTAGTTATTGCTTTTTAATTGTTTTAACTTCAAAGCAAACTGTATTGTTTGATATAATGAATATGAGTGGGTATGAATTCATTCACGGCGAGTTAGTACTTACGTAGGTTATTGTGACTACACTGGATAACAATATAACATCTAAAGGATATTATTACCTACTTCTATTTTGGAACATTATCGAAGGATGTAGAATATTTTTGGCAATGACATATGCACGCTCGAAATTCGCTTATGACTTCAGCGCTCACAACTACTAATTATGACATAGAGTAAAAACGCAATGTAAAGTGCACCTTAATTATTGTTACTTACCATCTAAAGTTTAGTTTCCAGTTGAACCCGCCCCACGTCATATCGGAAGCCTGAATGTACTCGAAGGTGGTGTCGGATATAACGTCGATGATGGGGCACACCACTGTCGTCCGGTCCTCCACGATACGCGCCAACAGCGGCTCGAGCCAGCCCTCTACAAATACAAAATATATGAGTCATTATACAGCAATATCACCTATAGGACAATATAAGAGCATAGTGAGACAATAAAAACCCAACAATCGGTCCTATCCGGCTTCAAATACAATTTTTTTAATTTGTAAAGACAAAGACGTCCACTGCATCCCCAAATAACTTCCAGATAGGCCAGATTGTAGTGACCTACATCCGTCATACAGCGACCATTGTAAGAGTTTCCTATGTAAAATCATGAAGTTTAAAGATATTACTTTAGTTTCAGATCGCTATAAAATGCTTCACATGTGATAGTATGTTATGTGGAATCTGAAAACCCATTGTCTAGAGTCTAGCGCTTGCTATTGTTAGCATAGTTAGTAAATCTAGTCTTTACAATATACTAAAGCCATGACTAATACATCGCTATTTTGTCTACCTATAAAGGTCTAAGTCAATAGTAAGACGAAGGAAAGTTACGGAAATGGAATTGATATTGCTTAGACTTTCACAATCTTTAAGATCTGTAGACACTTCCCGATTCTAATACAGATCTTTAAGGCTTCCTATTGAAAATATGCATTTCATTTGTAATTTAAGCAAAAGTAGAGGAACTTGTGGAACGCCAAAAATAGAATGGTCTGTCTGTCAGTCAGTTGAAGCATAGATTCGTACTTTCGTAGTAAAGCAGACTTAGAACACCTTTAAACAAAGTATTTACGAGCAGCTATCGAGAATAGGAGCATAAAATTATGTTTGCTAGATCTGGCCGTACGTCTATAAGAAGCTAATGACTCGGATAAAAATATGGGATACCAATAACGGTTACGTCATGGTTGCGTGAATTTTGAATCAACATCGTATCTGGCTCGACGAACAATGCATTTAAATCATCTGCGTATTGATATACCGCTTTGCAATAAATTACTATTAAACGAGCTGCTTCTATTGTCCGCAAAAACTTTGAACAAGCTGTTGAAATTGCAAACAGTAATTTTCATTTCCGTTTGATAGAAATAGTAAATAATATCGTCTGTAATGTTTACGTACTATAAATAAATGGAGGTAAATATTCAAAATCAAATCATTTAAGTATACATAACGATGAATGAAAGTATTTTTGTTATAGGTAGTTCTCGGTTAAATGCATAATATATTTACAAACGCGCAGTCATTCAACTAATTGTATCATTTTCCGGTTTCCACAATGTGTTTATCGAAAACGAATATTATGTATACGTTAACTAAATAGCAATAACATAACATGACATACTATATTATGTACGTACCTACAGTCTACTCATACACTGATTAAGTATTAACTTTCACATTCAACAGCCTTGAAAATCGTGAAATCATAAAAAAAACATTTGCCTACTTAATGGGCATTCGGTAGCTTATGATTCCAAAGAAATTACTCATAATTGCTCACAATAAATGCTAATTTAAATTAGTTACTTACATCAACGCGTACTGAAGGACCTAAAGCATTAACTTATCAATTATCAAGCAAGGTTTATACATCAGCTGATTACTTCTCCGTTATCGGAGGAGGTTGACACGGTAAATTAATATACACTTGGTGCTTGAACCTGTTTTTTTATTGATCTACGAGCAAAGTAAAAGGGCTAAGTAATGCATTATTAGTGCAACCTGCTAGACACTAGCCTATTTATTGTGCAATGCCAACAGATTATAGGAAAAGGACTGATATATATTTTCAACATTACTAGTACTTAAGTAGGAATTGTAGCAATTACATAGTCGTGGAATTCCATATGCGTTAGATAGACTCTGCCTACTTCCATGGGAGACAGGTGTGAAGTTATGTTTATGTAAGTATTACTTATTCACCTGTTGAATCTTACGACGGTTTGCGAATGCGATTTATCAGTAAAAGAGTTTTAATTAGGAGTAGGACGTCAAATGACTGAGGGCTAAAACTATATCTCTAACTTTCATAAGAAGCATTTAAACATTGCTACATTTTGGTCCACCTGGTAATCGAATCAGACGTTTCAAAGCACACGAAGGAACCATGTAGAATTGTACAGCCAGCAAAATTTTTTGGTAAGTAAATAAGATATGAACCTTTAATTTCTGATTTTTATCGAAACCATATCTTTTGTAATGGTTCAACCAGTGGTATGCACTATACTCTGTAGTGAGAGGTATTAATTACACTCTACAAAGCAGAGTGGTCGCTAAAAGTAAGTCGCTTTTTCCGCCTATAAAACCTCTACATCAATACCAAAATAATATAAAAAATGTAATGATATTTACCTGTGCATTCGCAATGGGCATCGAGGAAGGTGATGACGTCACCCTTGACATGTTTGGCTCCCAGCAGACGTGCTCGGATGAGACCCGACCTGTTCTCAGTGCGGAACAAATGTGTCGGCACCGGCAACGTCTTGATGTAGTCTTCCAACTTCTTTCCTAAGTGTTCTGGTGAGTGAAAGAAACAATAAATCATGAGTCATGTACACACACATTTTTAACTTATCTAGTTGTGTCTGAAAGCGATTTGATGCCACATTTTTTGTTACGCCCACATAGATAATGGTATGCACTCTTCGTAGTTCAAACTAACAGGAAAAAGCACTTCTTATTCCTTGTACATAGGTGCATTCCTCATAGACATCCTTGGGTTATCTAGTCGTTAGTCTAGTCAGGGTCAATTAGGACAATCATAGTTCACGACACGACGGAAGAGAGTTAAAATATTTTTAAGACTAGCAACGAATCAAATAATGTGTTGTCCCTTTTGAAATTTTTATGCATACACTTGTAAGATTATAATATACACAGCATTCACACGGAGACCACCACGAACCATTCCAAAGTTGAGAAACAAATTAAATGCCAATGAATTACTATTTAATTCGTTGCGTTTTAGACACGTTTTCACCTAACAGTTTGTCATTGAAAAATATAAAAAATAAGCCCATATATTTCCAGATAAGTAACACTAACATAGATACATTAGCACCTAGTTTTTATGAACAGACAATTTCACTTTCACATTTTCATACGAAATGTATATTTTAACCAAACATCAAGTAATACTGAAAGTGTAGAATCTAGAACTATTTTGCATACTTATCACGTACATAATGCGATCTATATACATACAAGTTCTAACCGTCTTTAAAAATTCTTAATTCGATTGGTGTATTAATAATGTTTCTGTCAATAATAATCTGCCTTCTGCAAAACAAAAGCAAATACTGGGTTAAATTATCATCCAACCTTTTAATTCCATAGACAGTCCAATCCAAAGTGGATGTTATACAAGGTGTAGTTTTGAAATCGTGACATTTCTCGGGGGCATGTCACAGAAGTCATAAAGGTTTAATGTAAGAGACAATTTCGGGGCCAATAGTTAAAAATACGCCTATAATAAATCGTTTAAGTTCGACAGTATTTCAGAATAAACGACAGCAATGTTTCTTATTGGAGTTTTTTTTAACGTTGCCCTACGTTAGGATTTTCTCCTGTGCCGTGCGTTTACAAACATACAAGTTCACATACACAATGACACCCAGACCCGAAACAACAATTTGTGGATCACACAAAGTGTTGTTCCGTGCGGGAATCGAACCCGCAACACGTTGCACGGCAGCCGGTTGCCCAGCCACCGCACCAACCGTGCAATTTTATGGAATTAGGAATAATATCAATTACGTGTTTCAGTTTGTGTGTGTTAAGCTGCATTATAAAGTTAGTTACAAGACGGCGGCGTGAAGTTCGCACTTACGGATTTCCGTATGAAAAATTGAAAAATTTTACCTACAAATTTTTTTATTGATTCGTACTCAGTATCGATAACCGAGTTACCTTACCTCCTAGAAAATGACGCGGCTTTATAACAACACCTTGTATTTAATGCCCACAAGGAGAACAGTTGTTGATCAAGTGAAATAACAAGTATAACGTTGAAAACCTGATATCACTAACTAACACATTAATATGCGCTTTACATAAGTTATGACATGAGCATATATAAGTGACTATTGGCCCATGCATACAATCCGCCCAATATTACATTGCACAGGTAAAGCCAAACTTTGCGCGACAGAACTATTGTGCATGGCTATCATAATATAATACCAATCTATGATTATGACGCGTTTTCTTCCATAAGATTAGAGAATACCGCACTCTCATCTCATCCCATTCTCATGATATGACAATCTGCATAGACATAGTGGGTTAAGTACACTTTATTATTTGCTTGTACGTGACGAAGGCCGTCTGAATAAGTGAATACAGGCGCCACTTGCAAGGAATACGACGGAAGAGTTCATTATACGGAGTGGAAGAGACGTGTAACTCAGTATATTACAGATTCAATAACTATTCTAATATAATATGAAAAGACTTCTGAATCTTTATTAGATTTTCATCTTTATCTTATAGCAAAGTGATAAGACTTCTTACTATTCTGTACCCGAACTATCAAGACAAATCGGAATCTAGGAAGTAAATAAAAAAACTGCAGTAAAAATTACAAGTTGTTAACACCGGAGCGAAATGTTATTGCTGTTGTACAAACATAAAAATGTAATCGAAATACTGGAACGTAACAAGATTGCTCACTTTGCATATAATCCTTATAAAAGAGAAGTAAAAAAATGGTGATTTGATCTTCAAGATATTATGAAAATTGATTTATAAAGCTGTGTCTACATCGATCTTTTGGTCGCGACGCATTGCACTGACGCTCAGTTGTGGAGTAAAGAATGTAAATACTCGTTTTTGCGTGTTCAATGACTAATCAAGCTGTCTGCACGAAGATTCCCCTCACGAACGGCTGTGACGTTACCATTTATTCAAAGTACATTTTCCTCTAAACTTCATGAATGACACAGAATAGTGCCTACATTAGAATATAATAAGGAAAATGCAGGATTTTGTAGTATTTATTAAACATTAAAGATTCTTTATCTTACAAACAATACAAATACACAACTAATACAAAATCCTTTTACATTAAAACAGTTCCTATAATTGAAATTCTACAAAAATATAGGTTAGACTATCTAACTTAATATGTAAGTATGTATACCTACACAAATCTACAAGTCTACTACTAAAGTATCCGTTGTCGTAGGTCTGTGAATAAAACAGATGAATAATGCATACAACAAAGCTAAGTTAATGTAAATCTCAAAACTTGAACACTACAAGAGAGGAGAGAACTAAATAATTTCGCGAGCTCGTTTGCAATGCAACTACGAACTCTGGCTAAATGCAGATTTAGGGCAAGACTGAACTGTTTAAAACAACATAGATGCGACAGGAAGAACAGAACAGAAATAATGTCATTAGTTACAGAAACTGAGAGAAAATAGCTTTTCTACACTTTCCACGAAGTATGTTTTTGTAACTACGACTAAATATGGCAGTTCTTTGTGATATTTTTATAATAACTATTGTGAGACATACTAAATTAACTAAAAATCAGTAGGTTGCGCGACATCGCCGCGACCGCGCACGCTGCTCATGAGGAAGAACCCCTCTGTGATTCGAAACCAGTAGAGCTTTTCTCAGTATATTCACGTGAGTAACCCGCGATTTTTAGTTAATTTAGTTGTTAAGTTCTTTGTGACACCAGCTTTAGAGGCATTCAAGGCGAACGTGAACTTTATTCATTCATATTAATCTACATAATATTTATTCAATAAGCATAGCGAAGGAACCACGCTGGCGGTGTCAAGTCAAGTGAGCCATTACAAATGTACAACATCAAAAATACTTTACAAAAAACGTATTACTCATTCAACATACGTAGGTATAATATATAAATAAAAAAAGATATTCTTTTTATTTCTGTAGCTGACGTGGATGACCACGACATTTCCGACAAACGGCAAATTGTAATTGAAAGTAGATAAGATATTCTATCGTACCTATGATCGCTTTTATTTAATTCGGGACCTTTCTTATCACTGCTACGATCACATCAAAATAAATATGATCAATTAGGAAATCTTCGCTGAAAACCTATAATTATTACCTAATCATAATATAACAGGCAAATTGTTTTATTACAAATACCTATAGATACCATAATGGAAGGTAAATAACCGACATGTTATACTGTGAAATGGTAAATGGAAATGTTAAATGTTAAAGTATTTTCTTTATCGTTCAAAGGATCGTAATGACTCGCACTTCGCATTTCAAAAGTACAACACACGAGTAGATTGTTACGCGGCACCAGTTTTATTTAATTTGTACTGCATTGTTACTGTTTCTTTACACTTTTACTTTACTTGTCGTATTTGCATAACACATAAAATAAAATTAAAGGCGTCCTGTTAAATTGAAGCTTGATAAAGGCATATACATATATAATTACGAACTATTCACACGATAAAGTTTAAAAGGTGACGATGAATCGTGAATGACATTCACAAAATTAACCGCATGTAAAAAAATCTTCTAAGAAACCAATTACGTGTAGATGTGTTGTAATCATTCGATGATTATAATGTGTGCGAAGTGTCCACTCACCCTTTTCACTGGCGTCATCAACGAGTATGATCTCCTTGAGAAGTGGCCGCGGGGATCGGTTGATTGTACTCCATATCGTACGAATGAGTGTCGTCCAGGCTTCATTGTGGAATACTATCACCACGCTCGTCGTGGGCAGCAGGGTAGGGTAGGATTTATCTCTGCATCTGGTGACAAAAATTTTGTGTTACAATAAAATTATGACAATCGTTAAACGTCGTTGAACTTCCACGTGTAATTTAAAATAACATTTACAGCAATATCAATGGAACTTATTCCATGGCCCATAAGCAATTAGTTTTTCTTTGCAACTTTTGTAAACTTAAAAATGCATTATCTAAAATTGTAAATGCATCTTGGGACAACAATACAAAATTTGATACCACATTTAACCTTCCAGATCAAATGTTATAAACTTTTAGTACAGATTGTTAGACGAGGCTGAAAACGTTAAAAAGAAATAAACAATGATAATAAAACGTTGTCTTCAATCAACCATTCTCTATTAAAAGTGACAGGTTTAATAACTCTTGGGAATAAATAAAAACAACACTAAAAACAATCACAGCAAACCATAAACTTTGTAAGTCAAGTTGCACACTACGGATTGTAATATTATAGAAAGCACAATAAGTGTCTTGTCTTTTAAATAGTGGTGAATCTTTACACTTGTTTATGCTTACTTTCTTTTGTAACAAGCATAAGCCAATGTTTAGAATAAAAGCCATTTAATAATATACAAATACATAGTTTCGATCAAACGTTTGTAACAGTTAAGTGAGCACTTTGACCTAAAGTTTGATAAATAGGACAGGCTTTCAAGTTTACCGTACCAATTAGCATAATGAGAACTATTTATAGGTGACTTAGCGATGGTCAACGCTCTCGAAAACAGGACATTACGGTCACACGCGAAACTTATTAAGCTATTACAGTAACGTGTTCAACTTCAAGTCGCGTCATGGACGGCTATTTAAGTATTTGCTCTGTAAATTCAAAAGTAAACAGTTTTATGCGGCGCTCGCGATGTCGAGTTCTATCGATATAATAGTATCAATATAGCGGTAAAATACAGAGATGGGTTCCGCAGTTAGTATGCGCAACCATTTTGTGCCACAAAGCGCGACGCGGACATCTTTAACTCATCGCGTGTAGGACCCCTCACTTTTCCAAGGTCGACGCGGGCGCATTAGGAAACTCCATTGATTAGTAATCGCTGATTTTGTCGAAGACGACGCGTCGTCTGTTGCATTTACATCAAATTATATGTTAGCGCAACATTGTTTGCTAATGTTCAAAACGCTCTTCGTGTCCGGAGACTAATTTACGTACCAACTTATTTAGAGAAGTTACTATAGAGTATGCCGTTTTTAAAGATATATTATATACTACGATATATTATACGATATTGTGCAAATTTAAACTACGGTAAAGTTATAAAGTATCCAGTAAATATCACATCACCATCTTAGTTGTTGTTTAGGAAAATGAATTGGAATACCAAAAATATTTAAGAAAAGCCACGAAAATTAGAAAAGTACGAGGGACACTTGTTTTCTCAGATCGTAAGGGATCTGTATAGCTGTATAGACACGTGCTGCGTACGAATTTAGATTCACGACTCCATGTCATGCCATGTCAAATGTCAATGTAACCCGCAGTAAACTGAGATTAAATAACACGGCAGTTGAATAAATCGCACAATTGTTCTCCATTCCGTGACTAATATGTGTATCAAAATTTTATCGCACTTTCTACATCATATGTGATGTTAAATTACCGAATTTGTTATACTTTGAAACCACTTATTGCTTTTGCATATTAATGGACTGTTAATAATAACATAGGTATATGCCACATTGTTTTCTTGTTGTTTCTACGTGAATTACTTATACTCGGCTGTAAATAGGTACGTTGTGAATGTTTCCACATGGTTTACAATAGTGAGCGTCATTTATCACTCCATCAAACGCACGCACTGCTATCTTTTTTTTTTTGTAAAAGCGAAACCGTGTAGATAGGTGATATACTGTATAATAAATAAATTGTTGGGCTGCCACATTAGTCTATTGATCACAAGCGGGGCTATTGTTATTGAACACAAGTCCAGGATGCTACAACACAGGACTACAAATATACCGCTATCTAAAAATTGACAATATTGGGCTCGCCTCTATTGCTTTTATCGTGACACTGGGGAAAAGTGTGTCTCGGACAAAAACACCTTGAAGAACTAACAAGCGTGATACCTTGTTATGATTGTGTTAAAATACGCCATTTCTTGTCTTGTCTTAGCGGGTGTATTGAGTATGTGCTACGTCTATCTATAGTCTATAGGTATACCTTGTACAAGTATCTAGTCTTGATTTGTTATTGCAATCGAACCGTTTGTTAATAAAAGCTTATGAAGTGGAAGCCAGACTGCTATACTAGCAATATTAGAGAATTCATACAAACGTAGGTATTTCTAAGAATTTTCTTTGATGTTTCATATTTCTTCAGCTATAGGTATCTCTAACTGCAATATTAAAACTTAAAAAATTGCGCAAACGTAGATTCAAGTGTTGCTAATCGAAATATATTTTTATAACATGCGCATACAAAATTGTTGTGTTCTCCTTATTTATTTTTGAATATTGATATCGACTATACTACTACGTAAATAATAACTGAATCAAATTGACGCCAGTATTGACTATGTTTGGGTATATAACTACAAGCTTTACATAACAATTTTATACAAACCTTTCATAGACTATAATAAAAAAGAGTTTGGTAATGTTTCACACAAATCATAAGTCTATAAAAAGCGCATGAGTGCCTCCTTATCGATATAAAGTAATAAAATAAGGTACTGAAAACTGATATAAAAATATAGATACGATCAGAAACATACAATATTAATTGACTTAGATTAGATCGTCAATCTTATTTCTAGTAATTAACCACTGACATATTATAAATACGAAATGATCGGACTCAAACAATACACTAAAATTATACCGTTTGTTAGTTTTGCGTAAAATGTACAGGTAAATCGATTCGAATACTAAAAAAGAACTTTATATTTTACTACTAAGCAGTATTAAATCACTGTTGACGTTGAAAAAAAGGAGGACGTAGTCTCCTGAAACAACGACTGTGGCACTTGGCTACTATAGACTTACACGTAGAAGATAAACACATTGACACGAAGGACATCTGTCATTTTCTTAAGTCTAATAACGTGGTAACCTAATACACACACATATAAATAAACCACTGACATTTGGATGATTCAATAATAGGGTAGATACCTAATTTTTATTTTAATGTCCGTCTAGTAGATTATTTTAAATCATTACACGTATTTTTATTTTCTTATAGAAACGAATACTTTCGACGATATATTGATTTGAAATGTCGTGTGACGTCACTTCTATGAACATTTTATACGTAGAAATGACGTTTTAGCCCCCACTCCTAAATTTTGATTAGTTTCATCTAAGTATTTATAATAATTATTTATTATACGACAAAATAAAAAATACGTGTCTAATATTTTTTCTTTAAGTACCTAACTTACGGACTAATTAGATTTTTAATTTTCATACCCTGTCATCATCCCAATTTTTAATAATGACATTAGAGCCGCCCTTTTTTCTACGTCCTTGTATGAAAATTTAATGGAAAGACTTTAAATTATGAAGAAACGTATGAATTTATTTATTAAGTATGTAATTTACGAAAAATTTAACATTATAATATTTTGTGCACTGGGCTTATAACGATAAATATAATAAATATCATAATATTACATTTTGATCAAAGACCCAACCAGTTTCTTGTGTTGATTAATTATTGGAAGGTCTGAGGTTATCAGAGTTATGTTATTTAACAATAAAAATAAGGAAAGCGGGTTTTTGACAATAATTCATGCGAAATTTGATACTTTTCTCACTCATTCTTGTGATTATGAATACTGGGATTTCTACTTTATGTATCGAAACAAGTAGTCAATCATTTGCCACGTCCATTCATCTGTCTGTATGAACTATAAAGGCAATAAACTCAAAAACTACTGGACATTATATGGTATACACCAATAGATGATAGTGTGTCTCCTCATCCTGAGGGATGTTATGGTTTTGAATACGCGGGCGGAAAGCTATTTAAGTATATAAATAAAGATATACAGGAAGAAAGGACTTACTTCTCAAACCTGACGTCTGTCAAAGACCTGTTGACTGAGATCATGTCACTGGCTAACAGATTGAACTGGTTCTCTTGGAATTTGTCCAACATCAGCTTCTCTTGTTCTATAGGAATATTTACTGCCTTACCTGAAAATAAAATTCTATTAATATACTGTAATGGATGCGAAGAGGACAGATATATGGTTGTTGACGTTGATATTTTGAAAACTTATTATTTTACAACTGAAGAAATTGTATTATGATCAAATTTGAACTCGTACGAATGGTTTCGTGTACACACGAAATTAGTCGAAAATTGGTCGAAAATAAAATGTTTTATTGGTTTTTATTAACTCTATTTTTATAGAGTTAAAGCATAAATCACGACACTGAATAGTAGACTAGTGAACAAATAAGGTCAAAGCGTCTTTGCGAAATTGTCACTTAAAACCGGCTTTGGAGGTAACGAAAAATGTTATTCTCAAAAGACTTGTTGGGGTCATAGATCTGTTATATAAACGGTCTAGTTTATAGACTATCTGAGTAAAAAGCGCAGACGATTCCAGATCTGATTCCAGTTAGAAAGAAACATCACAGTTGTGTAGTGTATGGAAATATGGAGATGGGACTGACAGCAGATATTTCTTTAAAGGCTCTATTGAAGTTCAATCAATGTGTGATCTAGCGTTAAAACCATTGTTTGTGAAGTTTAGCAATAAAATAAGAGTCTCTACTTTTTATGTGCTATTTTTCTTTTGTATTCTATGGTACTTTTACACTCCTACCCTCTGAAAATTATTTCCGAATATTGCCTTTGACACAAATGGAAATGATGTCTGTTACATTATGCAGTGCAACTCTAGATTTTGGAATTCATTTGTATGCATCTAACAGTTAGACTCACTTCAAATGTTTCTAGTTAACATCAATAATATACTTTCTCTTTTTCTAGACTTCGCAGTAAAAACACATCGAAAATGAGATCTTATTATATGAGATCCCAGAATTTTATAGGTTTATTTACTTTAAAAGTTCAAAGTTGATTCCAAGGATATAGTACTGAGTTTAATTGTATCTACAGTTTGCCCCTACTAACTAATTTCTGGACTGAATGATAGACCTTAATGAATTGAACATAAGTTCAGAGAACAAAAGGGCGCGATGTTTTCTAAATTAAATAAATTAAGTATGTTCTATTGGAAGCGTCACACGCAACGTACTTTATTGACGCGGGTATCAATAAATTGGTTCAATTAACAAAAGCTATTTACTAAAATATTGTTACATTAAAACTATTAGCTAGAGTACTATCACTCTGTTATTTTATTATTAACTGCCTGCAGCTAAATAAACTAAGTATGTTTATTATAATCTACAGCTTTATTATTCTTACACTAATTGTTTGAATGATTGTAGTGTTCGATACGTGAATGAAAAAACAACATTAACTATATAAGTTTTTAAACAAAGTGGACGAAAACAATAAATCGTGTTTTTACTTTGCTACACGGACTATTGAACACAAGCCAAGCACGAGTTCTGCATGCAAAGAAGGTACGCCAACATAAAAAAATAAAACAATAGACATTATATTTAGTTTTTTTACACAGACAGTCAAAGGAGTCTTTATCTTTTAGTCATATCTGCGCTATGAATAGAAAGTAATGGTCGCATACAAATAGGTAGCTATCATCAAAACTACCAGTACCACTACTAAATTGAAAGTAAAATAAAACTAGCTTTTGCAGGTTTAGCTGGTTGTAAAACTACTTTACCACCCTAAGGCTCTACGTCACCTCTGTAAGTACGTTATAAAAAGGTCTGCCGTTGCTTATAAAACTTATGTATACGACGTCATGCTAATGATTAATTAGAAATAGGTAAGATTTTATTAAGTATATCTATACAGATAAATAAAATTGAAGTGGCTAATCTCTGGAATGGCTGGACCGATTTTGCAACTTTTATTAGTAGGTAGCTAATCTACTAATGAGTAACAAACACTTTCATTTTAAAAAATTTGAAACAAAAAATAAGCTATGTTCTAAAATTCATATTCTATGCGGACGAAGTCGCGGGCAACAGCTAGTACATAACATGAAACAGTCCTTCGACCCCTGTCTACGTTCGTCTGTCTATTCCCGAAAAACTAAAAAACTACCGCACGTATTTCGTTTCACTGACGGACAACTACTGCTAAATCTATGTCTATCTCTATACTAATATAAAGCTGAAATGTTTATTTGTTTGAAAGCGCTAATCTCCAGAGCTACTGGTCCGATATGAATAGTTAATTCTTTTTGTGTTGGATAGTGCAATGACCGAGGAAGGCAAGGCTATAAAACATCCCGCTATGACCAAGAGGAGCCGAGCAGCGTATGACACCGCACAGAAGCAGCTAGTTGCATTATAAATAGGGCGTTTTCAAACAACATAAATATAGTAGAATGATTAAAAATATAAATGTGTAACAAATGAATGCTTTTTACAAGTTTTCTCACGAGGTTGCAATGAAAGAGGTTATGGTCAAAACATGAAGTTTACTTTGCTTGCAATTCTTTTTTCCCACAATAGCATCAGCATAAAACATTACATTACGATGTACCTAAGGTCGGTGGCAATAAAGCCTACGACCCACTTGACAGCTCAAGTAATTAGGCTTGCAACACCAAAGGTTATAGGTACCGTAAGTGTGTTGCGTACCATATAGGAAACTGTGTAATAGCTTTTACGTACACAATAATATCCTCAGGAAAGCCTATCAAAAAAAGCAATATGATTGATAGTCCCGTTTAAAGGAAATTTATAATCCAGCAACACCCATATGTTACAAGATCGGAAGACGCGATTTATTTCGCGAAGGAGAACAAGTACCTTATAAGTACAGAACAACATTAAAAAACTGTTATAATGGAGGGCTATTGAGTCATTTGAAAGGTGTTTTCCCTAATACCAATACAAACAAGAGCATTAATTTATTATCCATTTAGAATATATTAGCATGTTTTAACTGTTTACTTTTTGTAGCTAATATTTGTAACTGTTTCTATTGACTTGGTAATAAAACTGCCTACCTTGAACCTTGTGTCTGCTAGTTTTTATAGTTCAGAACACCAAGTTAATGTAAACTTTATTATTATGTAAATAGGGTATAAATACGAATAGAGCAAAAAATGTGTCAGTTGAATTTGACCCAATATATTCAAAAGGATAATTTTCAAATTAAGATCTATTGAGTGTATTATGTAGATGTGTCGCTTTTAAGTATTGTTCTTGTGTTTTCGCTTTATGTTCAGTAATTTAAACTTTAAAGACACTACAATAGAGTTTATCTCTGTCTATATTATGATAATAATCAAGAGGATAATGGAAGAAAATATTTTTTACATTAAACATGTAATCACAAATTAAATTAGTACAGATAAGTCATAGATCCTTTTTAACAGTTTATAATCTTTTATCAAAATGTAATTTTTAAAATGTGTATGTTCCACTTTATATATTTTTATCAGATAACATAAAATTAGTACTTGCATCATGAGATATACCGTGTATACCTTTATAGCTTGTCCTATATCGTTATAGAATATTGATATGTTTTTCATTAATATTCTACTAACTATTAGTATGATTGTACGGGTAAAGTATGTATATATTGAGAAATTTAGTTCCAAATAAATGAATACAACTTAATTAGAAAATATTAAAAAAAATTACATACCCATTTCTCCAGGTAATCCATCTTGTTCTGGTTTAACAAATGGTGCTTCATCCCACCTTTTAAGCCTGGACTTTGGGTACGGAGACAGCATAATACCATCTTCTCCAATCACTTCTTCAACAGCATTTGCTTCTAAGTTTGTGTCATCATTATCAATCTGATTTCCTTGTAATGCAGCTGCAATTGCAGCCTTTTTGCCCCTAAACTCTTCTTTATTATTAACCTATAGACAATTTATGTTTTAATGTCGGTGAAGGAGAAAATAATGTGAAAGAGGTTTTATTACTTTCCAATTGATTAAAAACCTGGTCAAGTTAAAATTGAGTATATTAACCATAGGAAGTTATTCAATAAGTTTAGCAGGTCTGTAATTGTGTATCCTATTAGTCCCACTAGTATTATAAATGTGAAAGATGGTACGTTTGTATGTTACTGCTCCATGCAAAAATGGCTGGAGTGATCAGGATGAAATTTGGAACAAGGTTAACTGTGGTCTGGAATAAGACATTGGCTACTTATCATCCCACGGGAATGAGGATGAAGCTGCTGTCAGAAGGTAGTTTATAAATAAATTCTTTGTTCAAAATAAATTTCTCATGATGATACATGTAAGACACAATGCAGGCTTGGGATTAATTATTATTATATTCATTGAGAAATCTGCTCAATGAATGAGTAAGTTATTAATGGATATAAATAATGGTTTTTATGTAATAATGAAACTTTGAATGTTAGTCTACCCATAAATAATAGTTAAGGAGTTGTTGTTATTAGTGTTGTTGTTGAAGAATAGATCTAACTTTAACATTTTTCACAAACCAGAACCAAATAAAGCCTGATTTATTTTTATTAAGATGGATAAATATTTAAAGCAGTAGCAGCAATATGATCATCTAATTGGAACTTAATTGAATTAAGTACTTTCTTATTGGAATCAAATACTTTGTAAAATTAATATAGCAACACAGCTCAATAATCTTTGATTTGGTGGTCAAGTGGTGGAATTAGGAACAATTAGACTCCCTTTCACTATTTACATTCCCTTGCTAAGTGTTCACATGGCAATCAACAGACTTTCTGTCACCCACAAAATATGTAAAATAATCTATGTTATAGAACTAGAGTATAACTGTACTCTGATTTGCATATTTATTTTAATTGAGTAAAGAATGTGTAAACAAAATCATGTTTACAATCCTGTCAGGTCCAGACCTTGAACTTTACAAGCCACAAAAAGTTTATAAAACCCACCTGAATGACATTATCACTGGCTCCTTTTTTGCTGCAGTCCCAGCCATCACCGAAGCAGTCGGAGTACATGGCCAGGAGTACTACGTCCACCAGCAGCCATGCCAGCGAAGTGAGCAATATTATCCGGCATGTGTGTATCCGAATTTTACTCCTGAACATTTTAACTGGTCAAGTTCGTACGCACTCGAGTTCACTGCCTCATGACAACACGGCCACACGAATGTCACGTTATCTTCCCGACCTGCAACACACGCGAATTTTAAGCAAACAAAGCAAAACTAACAACGAACCATTACTAGAATTAAACTTTGACACGACCTAAATTAAGACCATTATTAGCCACAAAACATTGTCCTTTACAACTAGTTAAATTTAATTACAGAGACTTATATTATAATCACAATTTCACAGTAAGTAGGTTTCCGGATCTAAATCGTGAATACTGCACCAATTACTTCACAAACTTTTAAGACTATTTCTGTATTAGCACCGGTTCAAAACTATTTATTCCAACAAAAGCGAACTCAGAGACTAATAAATAAAATAATACCGTTTTATTTTCTGTACAATCTAAAATCTTCGAAATACAGCGACAGTGAATGTTGGCCCGCGGTCGACATTCAACTCGTCGACGACAATAAATTCCATCGACAATCGCCAATCGCTACAAGCCAAAATGTATACGTCAAACTTTCTACCGTGTCAAATCGTAGATTTTAGGGTTGCACTAAACTAAAACAGTGAAGTTGTTTTCTTTTACTTTCTTTTTATTTAATAGTTTAGTTGTAGTTAATTTTAAGTTGTAAATATTTATGTAGTTATATAAATTATGATATTTAAACAGTGAAGCAAATGGAATCGACTACAATCGTGTAACCATTTTTAGTCGGTTTTCTTAGTTTTTCGTCGAAAGTAGACAGACATTTTGAACCAAACAGAATTAATTATGTACTTAATTACTTTATTAATTATTTTTAAAAGATTTTTTATTAGTTTTACCGATTCAAAGAATAACATGCACCATGCACAACACTTCAATGTCAAAAATCAAAAGTGGCAAAGCTTTCAGTGACAATGACAAGTCCGTGACAGTTGTCATTGTCAGTGGCACTTCATTGAAAATTGTTATCATTTTATTATTTTGTATCAACTGGCTTGCAGTAGTAGTAAGTACAGTTATCCATTATCAAAGAAACACTGTGTACATATTTTCGATAATTTATATCTCCGAATGTAGTACGGACTTTAAGAGAAATGAGATTTTTTTGTAAGTTAATTGTATTGTAAATTATACAAAATACATTTTTAATAACCGCCGATCTACTAAGATTTCATCTGAATAAATAGAAAAAGTTACGGTTTTACAAGAAGCACTTTCACAGAATAAGCCAATTATCGTTGTAGCTAGATACGGTATGACAAAATGAATTTGCTTATCAAAAACCCGTGCAATACCGAAGAGAAAGAGAACTGCCTATAACAACATCTGGAACTTCACAAAGTGTTCGCTGCGCTTCGATAATAAATAGGCAAGTTTTCATTTTCACCCATAAATACGTGTCATTTCATACATATCAGAATAATTTGATTTATCATATAATTATGAACAGAAACAAGACCAATTCTAGGATGGCGCGAACCACCGAAAGCGATCCTGAAACAAAGACTGCTAATGCATACAGTCTTATCGCAAACGAAGAAAAGCCCCCTGACATAAAATATGAGAAGGAAACATCATGGGTTGCTGGAGTTCAAATGTTTGTATCATTCCTATTGGCTGGCTTTGGCATGGTGGCAGCTAGCCTCCTACTAGATGTTGTGCAGCACTGGGAAGTGTTCACCAAAGTGTCTGAAGTATATATTTTAGTGCCAGCCCTCCTGGGGTTGAAAGGTAATCTGGAAATGACATTAGCATCTCGACTGTCAACTCATGCCCATTTGGGTCACCTGGACACTAGCTTGGGCTCCCTGGTTGTGGGTAACTTGTGTTTAATACAGTGTCAGGCAGTGCTGGTGGGATTCCTGGCAGCCATGGCTGCTGTAGCAATGGGTTGGATTCCAGAAGGACAATTTGACATCCATCATGCATCATTACTGTGTGCGTCTAGTGTGTTAACAGCATCATCTGCCAGTTTTGTACTTGGTTTGATCATGATAGGGGTAATAGTGGTATCAAAAAAGATGAACATAAATCCTGACAACATTGCCACACCAATAGCAGCCAGCCTTGGAGATTTGACAACCTTGGCACTGTTATCTTGGATAGCATCACTACTGTATAAATCTATTGGCACAAGTATTGTACTACCATCTATTATTATCACTATTGGCGCGCTGCTTGTGCCCGTGTGTGGTTATATTGCTTGGAGCAATAAATTTACAAGGCAAGCACTGGATGAAGGCTGGGTGCCTGTTGTGTCTGCCATGGTAATAAGCAGTGCTGGAGGATTAATACTGGACCACACAGTGTCAGTGTACACAGGTATTGCTGTCTACCAGCTAGTTATCAATGGCATAGGTGGGAACATGGTGGCAGTACATGCTTCTAGATTGTCTACTCAACTACACACAGGTCAAAAAGAAGGCTCTGTTTTAGGAAGCACTACTAAACTTCTACTGGTTATGGTGATACCGGGGCAGTTGATATTTATCTACACAATAGGATATTTGAGAGCTGGTCACACATCAACAACCCCCACTTTCATATTAATTTATATGTCTGCTGCATTGTTACAAGTGTTTTTGTTGCTAACCATTAGTCATTACATGGTTGCATGGATGTGGAAGATGGGAATGGACCCTGACAACTCAGCAATACCTTATCTTACAGCATTAGGTGACTTGCTGGGTACTGCACTCCTGGGTGTGGCATTCAGCATACTGTATGCAATAGGTGATAAGGACAGTGATTTAGGAGACTAAAATAAATCTCATTCTTGTATATTGTTCTGCTTGTACTGCTCAAAATTATACCTAAATGAAAATCAGATTATCTAAAGCAATGTTTATAAATAAGTGATACTGTTCTAAACATGTATTAATTTAAGCAGTATTACTGTATTTTGTGCCATATTTTTTTATATTTTCTTTTTCTTGACTAGTGGCACATCTAATTCATTCACATGAACATGGATGCAGTATCAGTAAACAGTAATCTATTTATTTCTAATTTTCCTGCCTATACAAGTTCTGTAAAATTATTTTACTTATTCCTAATTATTTTACTTTGTAATACTTTAAATGTATTATTAATTAATGATGTACTTACAGATAAAATACTTACGCAAAGCCAATGTACATAAATGAAGACTTAAAAAATATAATTCTAATTGGTGCTACTAAGTAATATGAAATGTTTTTGAAATGAGAATATTTTTTATAAGTACATAAGATAGTTTAATTTTGTGATTTTAACTAAATAAACTCGTTGATTTTTATGTTTGTTTTATCTTAACACCTGGCTTATCTTAAAAGATAGACGTGACGACTCGCAACTATACCTACTACTGATACAAATAATTGAATCATCCATTAACATTACGAAATTGTAGATACATAAATTAGCATTTAATTTATAACCCAATTAACTGTGTCACATCATTAAGAATTTTATTTTTACTACAAAATCGTTTTAACTATATCAACCACAGATATAATAAGAGAGGAGAATTTTTAATATTTCTGTGATATCAACAGTATCGCCTGCTGCTATTAATAGATTATACTTTTGTTCAAACAACTAAGACTTATTTCAGATATTGGATATAGCAGATTTCAGTTTTAGTATTTTCTTTTACAAAACATTTGGGGACCTCGCCTGGGTAAGGGGGCGTCCATAAATTACGTGAGATAATTTAGGGGGGAGGGGGTCGAGTCTAATCTCATCTAATCTCACGTTGGGGAGAGGGGGGGTCTCGACAAATATCACGCAATTTTTTCGCGACAAATATCACGGATTGTCACAAGACGAGCTAATGAATTACTGTGTGCAAGCGCCAACGGCTTGGAGTGGCTAGATCAGAACGAAGTCGAAGGAGCAGATGATTTTACTGAAAATCATATGGACATGTTGGTTCCAATAGTCTCTCTTGAGACCGCGCATAATTCTCCATGGACTGAATTAGAGTAGATATTTGTTTCTTTTAATCACGGTAGTCATGATTCAAGTATTCTATTGTTAAATTTTTATTACATTTATAACTCTCAGCAATATTGATTACTAGTCTTAACTAGTCGTAAATAAAAGCACAAAGCAAATTGTTTTTCTTCTTTTTACAATAACTTTTTATTTTTATTTTATTTTTATTTTTTTTATTTAATAACAGCCCAACGCTTTTACGTAAGAAACCCACATTCTGAAAAATCTCACGTGAGATTGGGGGATGGGGGAGGGGTTGAATAAAATCTCACGACATCTCACCAAGGGGGGAGGGAGGGACAGAAAATTAAAAAAAAACACCTCACGTAATTTATGGACGCCCCTTAAGACAGAAGTCTGACAAGACAGTACTACTGAAATAACTTTTATACATTGGATAGCTTCAAACGTTATAGGTATGTAGCCAAAACATTTTTAATCTGAACCTTTATCTAGATTGGCGTACCTACCTAATCTTGATCCACTTCTAACACAGGTAAATGTAGATAACAACCTACCTATTTACCTGCTGACTGAAACAACTAAACATCTTTGTTTTTATTCGCAACCTATCCACGCTAATATTCTAAAGAGGAAATGTTTGTTTAGTTTGGTTGTAATGAATAGGCTCAATAACTACTGGACCGATTTTAAAAAATCTTTCGCCATTTGAAAGCTACCTACATAATGTACGAGTACCTAACAGAGGCAATATTTTATTTTGGAAAAAATAGAGTTCCGTAAGATATTTGGGATTTTCGGACACTGCTGCTACTGCTTGCTAACCTATGGTGTGTAAGCTATAAGTACCTACGTATGATCAATAATAGTAATTTTCTTCCTTTTTAGTTTTTACTTTTCGTTTGTCTTTAGTTTTTGAAGTCGGTTTTTTTAAACGCAGTTTTTTAATTTAATTTTATAGTTTTTAGTTTAGTACATTGATATATGAATTATATTACACACAACCCACATGTATGCAAAGTTTTCAATACAAATTATTCAAGCTCAAACACCGGGTGGCTACTCTTAACCATTGAGGAGTCCCTTAGCTATCATACTACTTCATCATTGGCCCTTATTGACAATTAAATCCCACCTAGGTGTAAAGTCCTCATCAATACAAATTAATCAAACCCAAACACAAGGTAGCTACTGTTAACCGTTGAGGAGTTCCCTCGACTGGCTCTTGGCTCCATCATCAGATCGACTCCAGACCTTTTTCAGATTGAAGTGGTTTTGAATACGAATGAATGAGTTCCATTATTCTATGCAGACAAAGTTGAGAACAGCTAGTAGGTAATAAATAATGTAGTTTTATGTCATTTTACGACTAAGAATAACGACTTGTCTAGATACCTACATACCTAGCCATTAGTATATTATTATCCTATTCACTTGAATATAAACACAATGTTTGCTCATCTTCTTTGGAAATAAGAGTTAGTGTGATATGATATGAATAAGATACCTTAACTTTCTAGGTAGGTAGGTACCTATTACCTTTTGTTATGAAGTACGTACACGATTATCGTCATCAATAACAGGGCAAACGCCTAGGACAGACAAACAGCTAAGCAAATAATAATTATTTATTCGTCTATTTTTTTTAATAAAATGCAATTAACTGCTCATAATAATAAAGTTTCTTTTACAATGACATCGAAACTCTGTTTACCTTTTCAATAAGGTCAAGTAAGGTAAATGAAAGAAAAAACAGTACTTGCTTAATAATAAATATCTAATAAAATATACCTTTTTAAAAATTTGACTCGTAATGTTTATGCTTACCGACCTAAATCCACAATAGGTAATCAAACAAAAGTAAATCATCAGGTAGGTAGCAGTACCTAGGTACCATCTTTACGATAAGGGCTAACAACGTACGGGAATCGGTCCCGCACGGAGGTAATCTTTGTGTGATCCACAAATTGTTATTTCGGGTCTTGGTGTCGTGTGTATATGGACTTGTTTGTTTGTAAATGCACTCACGGGAGAAAATTCTAGTGTGGTGCAATTAAAAAAAAGGAAACGTTCTAAAATGACTTCGAATATTGTGGGCCCCAGCGTAGTCTAAGACTGCCCGTAGTAGTGTAGTAAGTAGTAGTTCTGTAGCAGTTCAATATACTCTAATTTTATAGGTTTAAAGTAGGTAGGTAGTTTCCTAGTTCCTACCCCTACCTAAGACATGGTAAGTACTACGTAGCCTTCGGTACCATTCTTAGAAATGGGTTCATGCTGATAACTCTATTGACCGCATGCTTGGCGAAATGGCTGGGCAACTGGTTACTGCGCAATGTGTCAGTTCTGATTCCTATTGTGTTTGTAAATGCGTCCTAGTGTGGGTTAGATGAAGTTATTTTAAGCTATGGTCCTGGTATCACACAAACAATACATACAGGTAAATAGGTAGGTACCTATCTAAATTGTGAAGGCGTTCTTACAGTCAAGAACGTTTCTTTGTCTGGATCTGGACCTATTTGTCTACCTACCTGTTACTTGTTGATATTTTTCTTACTTAGGTACCTACTCAGTTGAGTCTACAGTCCAATATTTATCATGTCTCCAGTCTGTAAATAAGACGAGGCAGTATAAAAATATAAAAAAATCATCTCGGCCATATATGTACCTACTTATGTATACCTACCTATTTATCTACATAGTGCTTGGGTTTTCGTAGCCGATATAAACTGATAATAAGTTACAGCTAAGTTTCTCTGGTTTTTCCATGGAACGTGAAATAGGTAGGTACCTACATATTCATTTCTACACTACAGTAATAAATATTGTTGATACTGGAAAACGGGATGACGCGATTGAAGGAACTTGTACCTAACCGATTACTCTAATTTACACCGACTAATCGTACCCTCAGTGTGATACCTAATGAAAAATGTAATGTTTAAAAAAAATGATTTTTTTTGGAGGATATTTCTTCAAATAATTACATATGTCGCGCAGTGGCCAGTTCAGTGCAGTGCTACATGCTGTAGGTGTTCGATTCCCGCATCGGGTTTAATCTAGATGTCTACACTACAGTTCTACATTTGTGTCAATCAGCAGATTAAAAAAAAGGAGTTTTTGTGTAATCAGGAATACCACAATGATATATTTAGATAAGATATATTGAGTCTTTCAAGTCAAAAATGAATGAACCTGCCACACCGTGGATAAGCAAAGGGTATATACATGATAGTTAAAAGAGCAAGGTGCTAAACTAAGGCTAAGGTATGTTACACAAGGTACTTTCACTACACTTAGGTAAGAAATAATGGTTGCCTACATCTGGAAACAATTTGATAAGATGAGACTTACACTCTTATTACCTGCTTTGTAATTAAATGAACTACTCACACCTCCACTTTGTATTATTATTACTCCATTATATATTGCACTCAAACACTAGAATTCCTAATGAAGTGTAACATTTATACTAATGTGACATCTATCTATCCCTGACAAATCTGAACCATGTTGATTATGTTAGTGGTTAGTACCTACTCAATATAAAGACCCAAAATCACTATGCATACTAGGTTATGAAACTGCATTGTCAATTACACTAAAACTAAGCTAGCCATTGATTCACATAAGTAAAATAAGTTCAGATTGACAAACTCAGCTAAATAAAATTTGGTTTTGACTTTTCCATTTACATTACAGAAACTCTGTCTCATTGGCAGAGTGGTCGCAAGTGTGACTGCCGGGTAAGGGGTCTCGGGTTCTATTCCCGGGTCAGGAAAAGTATTACTGGGCTTTTTCAACCCCTATTACATGGGACTCAACATAAAATAGTGAAAAGTGGGAGTCACATTGTAGAATGGCATTGAGTGCCGTACTGTGCACCTCTGCCTAATCCTTCGGGATATAGGACAAAAGGCGTGAAATTGTGTAAATTACAGAAATTCAATAAACTTATGGCAAAAATTGACATTATCATAATGATTTTGGTTTGAGCTTGATTATTATGGCTGTGAATCTATTATTATCCTACCAGTTTTGGACCAATCATAGAGTTTTGAATAAAACAATTGAATTTGGATGTTTTTGTTTATTTTCTTAAGCTAATGTCAGATGTTTACTTGACCTCACGCAATCTTCTGACTGCGGACCTGCAGGAGGAGGCAGCAGTGGTGGAGAATACCCACGCACCACCAGCTACGGTCCTCTTACAGCGCTTGCATGACCAGATGCCGACACAGGAACGCTTCATGGCATCCTGAAATTAAGATACAGGGAACAATTAGATATTTTACTCAACAATTGTTTTAAGTGCTGCTATAAAGTAACAACAATATTTACATAGTTATTAAGGATATTTATGCACTAAGATATTTTGATTATAATTACTTATTTAAACTTAAACTAGCATTTAAAACTGTCAAACACCGAGCGGTCACTGGTGACCACAACCTATTGTTCTTTAATTGTGTCTACAATTACGGTACTCAACGAGGTTATGTGCATATAAGATTAATAAGTTAACTCGTCGAGTACCGTATTTATAGACACAATTAATCTGTCAAACACCAAGCGGTCACCGGTGACCGCGATCTATTGTTCTTTAATTGTGTCTATAAAACCGGTACTCGACGAGTTAAAGAACAATAGGTTGCGGTCACCGGTGACCACTTGGTGTTTGACAGTTTAATGTCAAGAAATTAAGAATTTATTCAATAAGAGTGGGTAACTAGTTAGTTTTAACTTCTGTCTCTGTTTACCCACAATACCTTTTGATGTTGATAAATTATGAGTATGTAATGAGAACCTCCTCCTTTTTTTGAAGTTGGTTGAAAATGAAATTACACATATTTGCAAAATTATTTTGATATCTGCTTGATAAAACTCATAACTCATGCATTTGTTTCAATTTAACATAATTTAGTATTAGTGAAATGTCAACAAATATTAATCTGTCAAACACCAAGCGGTCACCGGTGACCGCGACCTATTGTTCTTTAATTGTGTCTATAAAACCGGTACTCGACGAGTTAAATAAAAATATTAGTCAGTCACTGTCAGTCTGTCCGTCAGTGAAGCTAGGTGCTTGTCCCAAAAGGTAATTCATCATAAAATTGCATAATTAATGCAATACAAATAAAAAGTTACAATAGTATATTTAAATTATTACGGATTTTTAGTGGAATAACACTACTACAAAAGATCTTTCAATGATATCAAAACATACATAAGTTTAAGCCCACTTTTGAGTCATGGGATGCAATGTTTTGTTTGATGCACAAAGTAATAGAAAATTTATGCAGACTTATTATGCATATGTTATAAAATTTACTGGTTCTTTATTGATGAGAATAACAGTTACAAATTAAACTGTCAAACACCAAGCGGTCACCGGTGACCGCGACCTATTGTTCTTTAATTGTGTCTATAAAACCGGTACTCGACGAGTTAATACTTAAGTTGTGTTGTGAATTCAACAGTACATTAACAAAACATAACCCCAAAATACATTATTATTTATCATATTTATAAATGAAATGTTTGGCATCAGTAGAAGACCGGGAAGTTCACAAAATCCATGGATAAGTCAATTTAGGCAGTAAGGCATTAATAACAAAGAAACAAATTCGTGATACTAACCTTACCGCAGAACGAGCAAGTGTATTTTGCGTGCTGGGTGACTTCCATTTTTTTGACCATTTTACGGAGGGAGGCACCGTAACGTGTGCCATATTTGCCAGTAATTCCAACCTTCTTCGTGCGTTTGGCCTGAAAACATTACAATAATTCATGTACATTGGTTGAACACTGACACTGCCATCACTATTGTATTGGTTAAGATAATTCGGTGATAAGAAATCGGTGAGTAAAAATATCCATGTGGCACAGTAGAACTATTCACTGGCATCTCTTTTACATGATATATCACTGGATTTTTCAACGGATTATAATAATTTTCACAAATTAAATCTCACCATTTTCGATAACCTGTCTAACTCTCCAGTTGACAGAAAAGAAGAAACAATTTGACAGTTTGCTGGGTGTTGCCAACGCAGTTGAATAAAGAAAATCAGTGTTACCACACCAGTGCCTTTAGCCAAACGCCAATTTAGTGCTTGTCTACAGAGAGAGTAGAAATCTAAATGTATGGAAATGACACTGACAAGTGTCAAAATTTACGTCAATTTGGTTTTCTATTCTACATGTAGACAAGACAAGCGCTAAATGGCATTTGGCTACAGTTGCAGTTACTACAGCAATGATTGTTTTTTTCTAGGATACCTAAGTTAAAGTACTTGCCCATATTTATTTCATTTATTTTCAGCCATGATCGTCTCACTGCAGGGCAAAAGCATCCCTACCCTCCTTCCACTCCTCTTTATTTAAAGCTATTTGCGGTCAATTCTTGTCATAGATATCCAGTTCGTCCCACCATCTCCTTTTGGGCCTGCCGCTACCATATACCCCAGTCCATGTGGTACCTAGTCTTATTTTTTATTTTTCTAATAATATTTTTGATAGCATTCATATGGAACGCGGTCAAATTTTTATTGGTTACAAACTGTCAAAACTTGTAATTTCCAGAGAAAGCCAACATAAGTTTTTTAGCATTCTCAACGACCTACACAACTTGTAGGTCGATGATACCAGCTTAAAGAAAATCTGGCCAATTTCAGGGAAGTCATATTACAATGTAATAGAAGCATTGGTATAGCTTGGCAAAAAGAGTTTGACGTGGTGACAACTGGAACTAATATTGACTCGGGCTGAATCCCTTTAGTCAATATCTCATGAAAACTAATCATCTAAACATAATATCTCCTCTTTTTCAACTCTATAAAAATAACAAAGAAGTATCAAAACCGATTGAATCGTAATATTATATATGTATACCACAAGTACGATACTAAGGATCTCAATTATTCCAAACTCTTTGCATTTACACAATTTTTTGAAAATATTATTTAGTTATTTCTCACATTAAAAAAAACATTGTTTGTCAAATTATTTTCGTTATTAGGAAACCGAATTATATGAATTTTATTATACACTATTGAGATTGAGACAGAAACTCGACAATCGATACCTCGGTCATAGGTTTGATAGTTTTTTTTTAATTTATTTCTTATTAATTATTATTAAAGTATAAGTAGATTTATGATTTAATCAATAAAAGTGCTAGAGTTTAATAAGGACCAATTCAAAGTCACTTTGGTTTATAAAGTTTGTATTTCTAACGATACCGAAGTTCAAACTTACGTTGGGTCTACGAGTGCTATTTTTCAAATTGTTAGGTTATCCGTTTAAACGGAAAACGTGACCCGACCTCTGGCAACCCGCAACACAGCCGGTACAACTTGGAAAAAGGTCGATCTTACAGATATTTTACCGTCCCGATCACCTGGACGGAGTTGTTTTAGCAAAAAACAAATCAAAATGTTGCGATCGATTTTTGTACGAAACCAAGTTTTAAACGATGCCTTGAAAAAATCTATACGGTCAAACCTCTCAAGGTGTATGAGCACAGAACTGTCGAAGAGGAAACTTTCTCACAGGTAAGTTGATTGGTTTTTAGTTTTATTTCCGTCTTGATAATAGATCTTGGCTTTTGCATTCATAAATATTTATTCTATCATTAAGTTATGTTGTTTGTGATCATTAAAATAAGTTCTGCTCGTTGCATAACCAAAACGTCAATGGTTTTCACCTTGTAGATTGATATTTAATTAAATGAGAATTCGCCGGCTGATTGTCGTACACGTGCCCTACTATACAGGAATAGCTAATTGTCATGTGCGCAGTTTATGTTATGTTTGGGATGAGTTGAGCAGGTTAAACGAATTAGGGCTCAATATGCTGTGGTGACATTGAACTTCAAAACTTTAGTATGTGACAATCAATAGATAGTAGGGCCCCGTCTATGTCTATGTTCTTTCCTCGTATTAAGGATATTTAAAATAAAGGAATATAAGGACATGGAAAATTTTTGCCAATGTAAACATTGTGAAATATTCAAATAAGTATATCCAGTACATGGTAGATTTAGGTTTTAATCAAGCATTTAACATAAAAATAACTCAAATATGTGTTTAATCTACCTAAGCTATATTAAAAAAATTAGAAGGAAGGATTTTATTGTCCCTTTCATAAAATGTTAATAATGAAATTATTTTGTAATCTAGTGCGATATATGTGGTAAAGTCTTATTACAACGCCAATTATTATGTCAATAATATGTGTAAAAAACGGAACAAGTACCTAATACCCATCTTTTTATAAATAAAATATTTCATTAATAGTTTTCTTTATCTTAAGGCAGATAAGATTGTCTGGCCATTTTTGTATTATGTCTGCACTGCTGTTTCTCTGATGAATAAAAATCTAATTAGATTTCAGCATAAAAGCACAAATGGAAAAGATCATAACTTATTAGTAATGCAATCAACACTAGGATTTATAGTTTACTTGCTAAGGTTTAGAAAATTGTATATTTCTATGACTGAATACTAGTATGACTGTGCTGCATTCTTCTCATGCATGAAGCTGTGGGTTTGAAACCTACCAACGGCAAAGTACCCATGTGACTTTTTACAGCAATATAACTAACAACAGCATTATACACTTTGGTATCATATGGGGTCATTTAAATACCTAAAAGTTTATAGTTATTATAAAGAGATGTTTTGCACTGACTTGATTTTATTCCATTCACCCTTTTAACATTAAATAATAAATGAATGTCATTAACTGGACAAATTATATAATCATTATCACCTTGTTACTATTACTACTGCTTGAAACAGCTGATAATATAATTCAACTTATGTACAAGTACGAAACCAAACAAAATTATCAGTCCATTAATTTAATATCACCTTTAGGAAGCTACATTAGGTTTATTTGGTCATAAAATAGGGTGAGATAACATTATATAACATCTCGGCTTATCTAAAACTTTACCACAGATATCATTGAGATGTCTGTACTGTGCGTGTACTGATAAGCTTACATTTGTAATAATAAACTAACTCTGTCGGTCACTTTGGTGATTAAAATCACACATAAAATGTATGTACTGTTATTACTAGGCTACTTAAAGTAAAATTAGAACTACTGATAGGAACAATGTAGACTTGTACATAACTATGAATAAAATGTTGCTAACAGTGAGAAAACCAATTTGTAAATAAGTTGGTTTTATGAAAAGTATTGAGATTACAAACAAACAAATTAATCTAACTTAGTTTAGATCTACTTTTATATGGTTTAATTTAACAATAATGTTTATTAAAGTAAAGCTATAGAATCAGTCTCATATTGCAAGTTATAATATGTTTATAGCCAACTTACTTATATAAGAAAATTGTATTGTTTTAGAGTCTTAAGTGCTCAGAATAAGAGAGTATCGGCCGCACCACAATGGACCATCCAGATAAGGTATTATGCCGACCTGCCATCTCACTCAAAGGTGAACTTACCAGCTCTGTCACCGACTATGGAAAGTGGGTCTATTATCAACTGGCAGAAGAAAGAGGGGGAAAAGTTAAGTGAAGGTGTGTGTATTCTTCCATTTGTTTTTATTTTTGAAGACAACAAGTTAGATATTGAAATCTGGACAGTTGTTGATATCTGTTAATACCATAAGTTTTCATTTTCATTTTGAAGGTCTCTTCAGAAGTCTTTATTTACAATAATAGCTTTAATTTCTAGTCTACCATAATGCAGTCTGCACAATAAGATATGTGAGTGTAATATAAGTGTGGGAGAGCCATGCTTCGCCTCACAGAAAACTGACGTGAAGCAACGCTTGCGTTGTGTTTCGTCGTGTGAGTGATGTTACCCGAGGCTTAATTACCCCCCTCCCCTTCCCCAATCCCTGAATCCCTAATGATCCTCAAACTCTTAATCCCCAAAAGGCCGGTAACACACTTGTAACGCCTCTGGTGTTCTAGGTGTCCATGTGCGACGCCGATTGCTTACCATCAGGTGATCCGTCTACTCGTTTACGGGCTTAAACTTTAACTAATTTCTTTAATTAATTTCAGGTGATCTGCTCTGCGAGATTGAAACAGATAAGGCGACAATGGGTTTTGAAACACCTGAGGAAGGATACCTGGCTAAGATCTTGATCCCAGCTGGAACTAAGGGTGTACCTGTTGGCAAGCTCCTGTGTATCATAGTAGGAAGTGAATCCGACGTAGCTGCATTCAAAGATTTCAAGGACGACTGTGAGTATAATATATTACAAAGTTCAGTGGTACAATTAATACTGTTTGGTGTTTCATTATTTGAAGTATAGGTACTAACATTTCATTTTTATTTGTAAAGTGATGTGAAAATAGAGTATGAAATTCAGTTTGGGATGTATTGACAGAGGTGTGCTTGATAGCAAACATAAATTTCTTAGATGATTACAAAAATGTCATTAGATTTTATAAAAAAAATGCCAGTAAATTACTTTACAGCCTTCATCTATTGTGTAGTTAGGAAAAAGAATAGTTCTTTAGTTTTTTAAGGAAATAAAGTCAGTAATAGAGCAGCAAATTGCTACAGAAGGTCACTTTACAATTTGTTTTGCTATCAATATCCTCATGTTAATGATATCTAACTGTTGAGTGTCATGTTTTCATAACAGAACAGTTTAACCATAACATACATTCGTTTCAACATTAATACATTTAGTAGGAAATTTGCATTCATTGTTGAACAATCTGAGAATTGTGTTTCATCACAATGAGTAGTGATATGCCTATTTATTACATATGGGTAAGAGATTGAAAAAAAATGGGAACTATCTATTGTAACTTTTTGATAAAATTTATTAAAAACTAATGATAATGGTTAATATGATTGGAACCATGACTCTAATACCCAAGGGAAACATAAAGAATTTTAATATATTTTTAATAATAAAAAAAATTAAAGCTACCAGCATGATTTGATGTTGTAATATAATGTTAATGTTTTTATTTCAGCGCTTAGTGTAAATGTAAACTAATACTGGTGTACATACATTGCATGTTTGTCTAACTGTTGTCTGTACCCACAGCACCGCCCGGCGCAGTCAGGCCGCCTGTCAAGAAAACAGGTTATATTTTAACACATTTTTTTCTAATTCTTTATTTCTTTTTTGTCTTCTTTAGATGTCTTCTATGTGATGTCTGCTAGATCTATTAAAATAAACCGTCAGATCCAAGTACATGCAAAAATGGGCGTTAAATCTTTACAACATATCCAAAATAATAAAATATCATTTTTTATTTTTCTTCTTCTTACAATAGTTTTTAAACTTAACTAACATAACATGACGCCTTTTATCCCCGAAGGGGTAGGCAGAGGTGCACATTATGCCACTGTACAATGTAACACCCACTTTTCACTATTTATGTTATGAGTCCCATGTAATAGGGGGTGAGCCTATTGCCATATACCGGGCACAATTCCAGACTCCGTCCTACAACTGAGAATTTTTTAAAAACCCAGTAATACTTTGCCCGACCCGGGAATCGAACCCGAGACCCCTTGCCCGGCAGTCGCACTTGCGACCACTCGGCCAACGAGGCAGTCAAACTTAACTTAACTACGAAATAATAAATTTGAAAATATATTGAACAACTTCACTAAATCTTCTGCAAATACAGCGGAAGCTGCCCCAGCACCCGCGGCGGCCGCCCCGGCCCCGGCTGCAGCGGCCCCCGCCCCGACTCCGACTCCCGCCCCTGCTGCCGCCGCGCCCCCTCCCGCGGCCCCTGCAGCACCAGCAGATAGCGGACGGGTGTATGCCAGTCCCATGGCCAGGAGACTCGCTGAGATCAGGAACATCAGGCTTGGTGGTAAGTTACTACTAAAAAGCTACTAAACTTTCGTATCTAACAACCTAATGACATGTTGTAACACTCTCGCATTAATAAAAATTAGTAATGAAAAGACCCTTGTACAAACTAATTTGAAAAACTTTTTATTCATATAGAATTTTATAAATCAAAAATTCAAGAAAGATAATTATGTTTTGCTCTCACGCATCTATTACTCATACGTAGGTACATACTTTCATGTTCCAAATAACTAAATTGAGCCTTGCCCGTCATACATCCTTTTAACATTCCATTAATATCACTTATCGTCAAATCAGTCTCTATTCTGGTGGCGTGAAATACATTCTAAGTATCTTGTATATAGTTGAAAATTTTAAAATTACAATAATTAAATAATGACTTTTTGAATTGGCTTTTATTTTGTTTGCTTTACTTTCAATATCTTATTTCATGCTATCAGGAGAGGGTTCGGGACTGTACGGTTCGCTGAAGAGTGGGGACTTATCAGATGCTCCAGCGGCCGCGGCAACGCAGGCCTTCGCTCCCCCGCCCATGCCGGCGCCGGGCGCCACCTTTGTGGACATCCCACTGTCCAGTATGCGCGCCACCATCGCCAAGCGACTGTCCGCCGCCAAGCAGACCATCCCTCACTACCAGCTGACGGCTACTGTCAATGTTGAGAAGACCATTGAGATGAGAAAGAAAGTCAATGAGAGGTTGGCTGCTGAGAAGGCTGAAGTTAAGGTATACATGATTATGACTAAAGAAAACAATTTACATTGTCTTGTGCATTAAAGCTCAACCTTTTTAATCCTGTTGAGTTGTTATTCTGAATTGAACTTTATCTGCATTGTCCTAAAAATCGTTATTTATTAAAAGGTATCAGATACATTATTTACTAAACTGTCATTGTGGTTTTCCAGGTTTCAATGAACGACTTCATTGTAAAGGCTGTCGCCGCGGCTTGCAAGAGAGTACCTACAGTCAACTCGCACTGGATGGACTCTTTCATTAGACAGTGAGTGGCCCTTTGATTTTCAACTTTGTCACTGAACAGAGTTAGTTTTTTGTAACAGTGTCTGATGCCCTGTTAGGACCTACCTCTTAAGTTTTTATTGACGTTTAAAGATTTAAAGCCAACGAAATGTCATGAAATGGCTGACAATAAGAATGAATCCTATTATTTTGGTACTAAATAAAACTGTTATTCTTCCAGGTTCAGCAATGTAGACGTGAGCGTAGCAGTAGCGACCCCTGCAGGTCTGATCACGCCGATCCTCTTCAACTGCGACTCGCGCGGTATCATCGAGCTCTCCAAGAACATGAAGGAGCTCGCCGCGAGAGCCAGGGAGGGCAAGCTACAGCCTCAGGAATTCCAGGGAGGCACTGTCACTGTTTCTAACCTTGGAATGTATGGTAAGTAGTTACATTACTGTTTTTCTACAAATTTCTTCCTTGATGGCTGTGTAAGGCTAAAAGAATGAAGAAAGGCCCGCGGTCTGGGGTACTTGTGTGATCAGACGTAAGAAGGTATAAATGACGCCAAATTAAGAATTTTGGTAGGTGGTGCTCTGTGTTTGCCTGTTCCTCAAAAACTTATACATTTCTTTGGTTTTTACTTTAATATTTCAACTAATATTCGGAAGTCATATTTAAAACCCTTCCCTTATATTGTTTACAGGTATCACAATGTTCAACGCAATCATCAATCCTCCTCAGTCGTTAATCTTGGCGTGTGGAGGTCTCCAGGAATTAGTTATCCCTGACAAAAATGAACCCCAAGGGTAGGTGCCATGTTTTACTTCACAATTTGAGTCATAATTTCTAATTTTCTAACAAATATTTCGTAAAACGTGTAGTGCAGCTTGAAATCCTAACAGCAATAAACAATCAAAGACTTTTCTAAAGGCTTGTGAACATTGGTTGGAATTCATTGTCAGTTTAATAACTTCTTTTCATAATACAGATTCCGTCTGGCCAAATTCGTGACATTCACGGCTTCAGCGGACCACAGAGTGATAGACGGCGCGGTCGGCGCGCAATGGATGAAGGCCTTCAAGGAGAACATCGAGGACCCCGCCAACATGATCCTCTGAACACTGCCCAAACACTCCACACATTTTGATTAATGGACATCTGTGTATAAAGTAATCGAATATCTATTTAAGCAATATCTACATTTTGTAATTATTGTTTTTTTTTTGTATAAGTGTTACGTAACTGTAAGTGCGATCGTTTTTATATTTTTTTTTAAATCACAATGATTAAATCATGTTTTTTTAAGTAATGACAGTGTCAAAGGAGATTTATTTGACCATTTTAATTTCTGCACTGATCACTAAAGATAGACACAGGCTATAAACTTAGTTGCGGCTCTCGTGCAATATGTATTTCTACAAACAAGTGTCCAATAATCGAATGTATCGAGTCGTCACCGTGGTTTCCTTCGATTAGCGCGTCCGAACTAGTTACGATTATAATTTAATTAGTTGTTGTCTTTTTAAAAGTTTATTTACCAGTGCTGTGATTATCTGTCTCGTGCGTTCGCTTGTAGTCGGGCAATGTATAGAAGGTTCTAGATATAGCAACAGGGCGCGTGTAATCGAAGGAAGTGCGGCATTTAAAAAAATAAGTGATTATTTATTTAGTTTTTTAAGGAATGGTAATCGTACAATGTCCAAATAGAAGCTCCAACTATATTTGTAATAATATTGTGAATATGTAACATAAGAATCACGCACTTATTATTATTTATAAACTGCCTAATTCGGATTTTGTTTACATTTTTTTTTTATCGAATACCATTCGCATTTTTGTATAGGTATTTATTTCATAAAATTGTAATCAAGTTTAATTTAGTAGTGATTGGAGCAGAGATCTATCAACATTTACATATATTTTGTGCCTTACTTGAAATTATGATGAGATATTATTTGCACCGTGAATACGAGGTATATTGGTATATATGCATGTATATTTGGCGCAAAAGGGCTTATTTATGATTTCGTAACACCTGTTTATAATGTTCTGATGATGCAGATGATTTTATGAAAGTTAGTGGAATATAATATTTTACAATTAACTCAACTTCGTTTTATTTCTTGCAATTTATAGTACCTACCTAATATTATACTGTGAAAACTGAAAACACGCTCACTTTTGACCGCCTATGAAAATAGCTGCTTGCCAGTAGATATTTTCGGGCTAAGTATAATTGGAATTTTTCCAGTACTTAGTCTGAAATTGTTTTGTTTTGCTTGACCCTGTTACATTGGGTTCGGATTAAAAGGTGTGAAGTTATGTATATGTACCTATGTCTATGTGTTCCTATTCGATTTTCTGAACGCATTCGCATGTACGCTGCAGTGGCTGTGCATGACTATACATAAATTCCCCTTAGCGATCGCCTAAGGAAAAGTGGGTATTACATTTATAAAGCATGTTAACGTCTATCCATATGTGATTGTCTACCGCTTCGGCATATAAATAGCGTAATGGTTTACGGTACGGTTTTACGAATTATGCTATTTGTATACGAGGTCGATAAAAATTATAGTTCAGCACATATATATCTTCCTTAACAAAAACAAAGTAAACCTTAAAGCTACCGACCGCAACAATGCGGTGCGACTAGCTTTTACAAAAATATTATGATGATGTTTTTATAGCCCTATAGAGGGGAGGCCTTTTCCCAGCGGGACTTACAGGCTGACTGGACGACGGTGCGCAGCGCCCTTATATATGTACGCCGGTAACGAAACCATAGCGGCATTTAATTCGATGCCAACGCCATCTAGTAGTAGTCTAGAATTCAATTTATAAAGTCAACATAGATATTCTTTAGACATTCCTAGTTAATAGTTAGAGTAAATAAAGGTAACAAAACATTTTATTCCCCAATGCAGCAGGCAAAGATGAGTTATTGGCAAATTTTGGTACGGTATAGATAGGTATAGACGTAAACCGTACATTCGCATCTTAACCATGCAAGGCAGGTAAGTAGGTATGTACCTACTTACCTACCTACCTATTATGTGGTAGTCGGTTGTCCCGTCCTCGACATACATAATAGAAAATTTGATAGGAAATTGTAATTTCACCCTTATACCGAAATAGGTTTATCGTATTAGAATAGACTCCATGGTCTCGGTACACTCATTAATGTCATGGCCGGTAATACCAGCCAAGCACGCACCCCTCGCGACCTGACATGACAATGACACGGGACATCTGTCAATCCCTCACCTGACTGAAAAGTTATTACATAAAATAGCTGAGAATTTATAAAATACGGTAAAAAAGTTTTACGTTGTACATTTTTATTTCAGTACAGTACTGCCCAAGATAACAAGGATTTTACCTATCTAATATACATTTATATAAGCGAAATAAGTCCAAGACGAATAGATGCCACCTCTGTGTATACAATTGGGTTTCTTGTTATTTTATAATGGGAACAGTAGTTGTCATTGCATTGGGCAGGTCGAATAGTTATTATTTTGGCGAACCGACCAATATATTTTGGTAGAAGGATTAATATTTTGGTTACGTGACCAAAATTTCTATGCCGGATGCCGGTAGTTGCACGTTTTACAGCTGTAGAATTTAGCAGGGGAAATATAGAGGATAGTCTTTCTCGCACGCGAGACCACTCTTTATTCTAAGTTGGTAGTTTTCGGAACTGCGGTAGATCTCGCGGGTTACTGGGACTCCGGCTCGAAGCAGGAGTAAGAGTAGGAACAGATGGATTTTAGTCGGTGGGAGTCTGACACTCTCTATCGCGTCACCCAATGCGGGAGAAGTCATAGGATGATTTTCCCCGCTCAAAAAAGATGTACTTCTAGGCACCTACCTAGTTGTACCAGGTAGATGTAGATTAGCTATCAATGACCACATTCCTGACTGCCGTATTAAAAGAGTTTTCAATTCATACAATTTCAACCAATTTGTACCTACTTAGGTACATAAATACCGAACACTTCAATACTTCAAAACGACATTCATGGCGTACAATAAGCACAATTAGTTGAAATTACCGTAACAATAGACAATAGGAATTTATATGGGAATGCGTCTTGCTTTATGCCTTGTGTTCTGTGTAGCGCGAAGAGCTCTACGGATTATATTGGTCAGTCTGTGTGGTTTTGTATTATTTCCTAGAAAACCGAATCTAAAATCTAACTGTGTGGGCATTTGAGTAGGGCCTGTGCAAATCGTACAGTAACTTACCAATATCTAAATATCACATATGTTATTTATGTAGAGGTCCAGCATCCACCCCGTTCATTAGAGTGGTCTACTGCGCTAGTTGTCAAAAGCACGTAAAATGTGCGAGGGTAGGCGTACTGATCTCTAAGTTAGACAGAACTTTATAATAGGCTAACTTCATAATAGGCATAAACTATATTTTATTGAACGAAATATTCTCTTTACAATTTCTTAATAGGTACAAGACTGAGTGACAATGACTGACGTATCAGGAACCACAAAAACAGTAATAACAGTATTCACGGCCACACATGCCACGGATCGAGAGGTTGAAGACAGTAATGTGTCGAAGAAAGACAAAACGTCTCTGAAGGAGAAGGAGATACCTGTCGTACATGATCAGGGCTTCTTCCAGCATGACACTGGAGATTCATATGATGGATACTTCGAAGCGAAGAAAAAGGATCGTGTGATTAAAATGCATGGTGAGATTTTTAAATACTTAGGTACTTTTAGTTTTTTTTTAGTATAGTACAACATAGAGTACCTAAACAAAGGACTCACGTATCTAACACGGTCCTCTATAAATTTGGTTACACCATCGATTTATATATAACAATTTTACGTGTGGCGTGTAGGTACTATCTACTCATAATACATAAACTGGAAAATGCAATACATAGGGAGGTAGAAACTAAGTAGTTATTGCTCAATTTAACCCATGAACTCACGATCGGCAGTCACGCTTGCGGCTTAAATCAGAAGATTAACAACGAAAAATTACTAAAATGTCGATAATATCAAAAACTTCTCTGTCTACCTAATTTACATAAATAACTGCAAGCTGCAATGTAATGTGTTGTACCGACAAGCGTGTAATGTGCAAAATTTAAATTCCTGCAAGTACTAACTGCGCATGCCTCACTCAATATTATATTTGCGAAACAAAGTCTTGCAAAGACACCTTTTCTTTCGGTTGTAAGCGACGTAGTCAACTGAATATTTTTGTCATATCCAGTGTGGTCTAATCGACCGTATCGTAATCCATTCCAAGGCGCGCACAGACGAACGTTACGGTCCAATTACAACAGTTGCGTTCATTCTCTTCCTGTACTTACTGTCTTTCAAAAGACGCTATTAAGTACCATTATTAGTCAGTTGAAATAAAAATGTCAACGTTTTAGGGTTTGGTGTTTATACGACAGCTGAAGGCGATCGGTACCAGGGACACTGGGATCAAGATAGATTCGGCTGGACTGACGAGGTTGTAATATCGTACATCGACGGTGCAAAATTCGAAGGAATTGTAAAAGATTGGTCTTATGCAGGCAAGGGTAAATACACCTATCCCGATGGAGGTCATCTGCACTGTGAATTTGCGGACAATTGTCCAACAGGCAACCTGCGGTTGACGGATCCTAATGGGCACATCTGGTTGGGTAAGGCTGAATTAGGATTCGCATGGTTCGAACCTGTTAATCACTTTTATGATTTCTTGGAAACGGCTAGTGCGACGAGATCGAAGCGCCGCCACCATAAAGGTATGTCCAAGAAGTCTTTGTCGCGTTCTAAACATAAGTTGGCTTCTAGTCTTTCATACCAAAACATTAAGAAACGAGAGATTAGTATGACATAATAAAGTTATTATCATTTCTTTTTACCTAAACCATGTTATTTATTTTGTTGATAAAATATATATTTACATATGTTGTTATACCCGTTACTGGAGAGTACTTATTGAGTTTAATATTGAGTTGAGACGGATGATGGAACATCATAGTTAACGTAAATAATGTAAACACAGCCGTTGTATGAGTAACGAAGGTAGGTCAGGAAACGAATGAACTCCGAGTTGTCTCGTCGAGTGTGAACTTGTAAATGTAGAGGCGTGCTCCGATCATTTATGTAAACAATCGATAGAAGAAAATGTAAACAATGGAAACGTTTGAAGATTGAGAAACTGGCACCTTTGTAAGTAGTTAAGCACTTAGTTACATGTGTCGATATTGGTCGCTAACTGCAGTTAGTCACTTAACTAGTTAGGGGCACTTCGTCTTGTGGCACTTAGCCGGTTGAACCTACTTGCTCCACACGTATATCATTCGGATTTATCGATACAGTCACAAACATGATGGCGTTTAGGCAAATAGATTCTTATATAAATTTATTTACGTTTAGTTATTCAACCATTGATTAAGATGGCCAATAAGAATCTTCGTATCATTATAATCTACCAACATTGAGCTGAGCTTTAGTCTCAATTAGGGTTTTCTGTTTTGCCAGTCGTGTTATAACCAATTAAAAAATGTTAGCTTTTTTATTTTTCCTAAAAGTTAAATGGCCCTTCCATTTCTGATTTATGTAAATTGCTGAATATAACGTAGTTTTTACTGTATCTATTTGTAAAGAAATGGTAATTGTGGTATTTTCCGCGGTAAGATTACACTTATTAGGTGAAGCATGAAGTGTATAAAAGGTAGATATTTGAAGCGTAACTTTGATTATAATGACTAGTCATAAAAATTCAAACGGTATTATGATTTACAAACAAAGCTCCAAGTGGTAGCAAACGGATATGATGCAAGCTCACTTATTAAGAACGGTTAGTTAATATTGCGAAGTTTTCCATACGACTGTTTGGTATGATGACATTTATTTGCATGCATTTATTATAGCTAGCAGACGGCTCGCCGCCTACAGACCATTTGTATCACGTCACTGCTACAACGACAACGAACTTCTTAGATTTGTAGTTTTGGCCTCGAGTGTACACCCACATTTGAATAGCCACTCTTCGAAGGTCTCTATGAACTTAGTAAGATTCTCTTATCGTTCCTATTCCATGCACCGACATGGGGGTCGAGGAGGGTCAACATGAAGTGGTGCGGCACACTTTAGAGTAGCATAGGAGTGGCTAAGTGCGTGACTGCGAGTCGTGTATCTTGCGAACTGTGTTCGGTGTCCATAATTAGTAATTAGGAAGGACAACAGAATGGCTGCGAGGTGAAGGACACTGATTTTACTACCTGTTTAATGAGCCTGTAGTCTATTAATTTGTGACGGTACACAGGAGGCCCTAGTACCTTGTGCATTATCAACTGTAGTTTCAATAAGTATCTATGTATGTATGGCCACAACGACGTTACTTAAGCGTGTTTAACACTTTGACACGTTCGGCACGTTCCAACGCTGCAAAGTGATTTTTGTTACAATTTAAAAGTAAATGATGATAAATGGGAACTGTTAAATGCAAATAGCACATTCGAAGTATTCTGTTAATTTTAGAACCGGCTGACAAAGAGAGGACATATTGAGATGTATGATCTCACGTCTTACCTTGAGAATGCAGAGTGCAATTTGTAGAGATTGTAGTAGATAAACATTTGTATATCTACCTACTGTTATAAATTATAATACGGTCGTTAACGCTAAGTAGGTACCAACTATGGTGAGTATAAGTAAAATTTCAGATATAATTTACAGGAGTAGGTATCCTGTTAAAAACACGCACAAAAAAGCTTAGTTATCTCACGATGTTTAAACAGCGTGATGTACCCACACCACGACAAAGTGAGCTAAACGGATAAGGCAGCAGTAATGTACAGCTAACCAGAACCATATAAAGCACGTGTATTAGTGCTTTCTATCCGTGTCTAATCTTATCAGGGAATAAACATCAATTGGCGTAGCCTACGTAGCGGCGTACTACGAGACTACGAGACTACGAGCCTACGAGGCTACAGCACAGCCAGTCGGTAGAACGCAACGAAGTTACGAAGTGTCAGTTAGAGGCGCGGCAGATGTCGACTAGCAAAGACGTGAGGCGCGAACCGGCGCGCCGGTACTCGCCGCCCGCGCCTTATCGTTATCACGTTATCAGCCCTTATCAGTTACTCATCGCGAATCCGATCGCACACCGCCATTCGATACTCACGCGCGAACACTTCGATCCAGATGTGATTTGTTTCTGATCGGTTGATCATGTACGGGATTTCAGTGTTTGCTTTTTTTTATTTGTTTTTTGTGAAAATTGATTATGGAAACTGTCAAGGTGAGTGTTTCGTCTCATTTTGTGTAAGTGATAATGAACCCTATTGTGTTAATTATAGAGTTTAGTTACCTATTAAATAGTATGAGTAAGTGTTTACTCTTTAGGACCAAAGTGTGTAAGTCTGTAAGGTAAAGATTTACTTAGTAACGGACTCGATGTTTCGTTTAATTCACGAGTGTTAATGGCTTAGTAAACTAGTTCTTACAATGTTTACTATCTGACTAACACACATATGAAGGTTGTGATAAGGAATAGTAGAACATATTTCCATGGATTAGCTTTAAATATTACGATTTCAGATAGATATCAGGATTGAATGAAAACATCTTGTTTGCAAGTGATCTTTGAACATAATGGGGTGATCAGAGATGTAGAATGGAAGGCTATATTGTGTTTCGCCCACAATCTACTTATATTCAAAAGTGATTGGGGGCGTTGTCCATGTGTTACATTTTAGTTACGTATGTTATGAATGTAGGTATATATACTTGTCAATATTTAATTCATTTATAAGTACATGAAATATTTCGACAAAAAAATCCTACTAATTAGCGATCTTTGTGATACTTAAAAGAGTTTTGTGTAGGATACTATAACGTAAATATTCCTCAATAGGTACACCTATGGACTAAAGTTTGAACCCCACACCACTCGGTTGTGCTACATCATTCATCGAACATTGAACCACATTAGAACAACCTACTTAATATTAGACTTAGAAAGGGTTTTATCTTGAGGGTTATTTTATTTATGTGCGTATGTATGTTACTATTTTTGAATAATTACATTTCAGTATAAAAAAAGTTCCTAAAATAACATACCTACCCTTAAAATTACTGTGAGTTCAAAAATAGTGTAAAGATTTTAAGTATTTTCAGAGATAACATAGGCTTAATCATATATCATGTGGTAACACTCATAATAATTAAAGGATACACTATTAATTTATCAACAAACAGGACGGAAGTTAAAACTATTCACATTAAATGTTATTATACAAGCTAAGCAAGATTAGAATAAAAATAAAAACTAATTCGTTATCTCAACACGGACATAAATGTAACTTCAAACGGAAGATTTATTTTATGCTCATGCGTTTACTAAAATAGCCGAAACAGACGCAAGGCAGAGAACACACCTGTTACGGACGTATTTGTTGGAAATAGATTAAAAAAAAATACTAAATAGGATTGACAGTTTTATTTAAAGATGGCCGCTCCGGTTGGCGGGGATGCGTTTTCCGACTTCACGAATTAGTTCGCTTACAAGACTTACAAGTTACAACGTTTGCGTTGAAAAATATTACAACGTTGAACGTTCAGCTGAAACAACAAAGTATATGCTGTAATGTGTTCGTTGTTCGTATTTAGTTTAAGTTCTACTGAGTGTTTAAACTAGGAAGGGATTAATTTTAATGTTTTCTATCTAGGTCTACTTCCTACGGTTGATGGTAGGTAGGTACTTTGTAGGCTTTGTCAGTAAGCAACGAATTACGAATATGAATATTTTGAAACCTTAAATTCATCCCTAATGATTCACTCTGCCTTTTGTATATCTTTTAATTAACTACATACGTACGCACTGTTAACATTGAAGTATAAATGTACCTAAACATTAGCATAGTAATTATTACATTCTGTGAATCTTTATTACATTACAGGGCTAACCTAATTATTCTACTTATTAACGGTAAACTAAACTAGCAACGGTATAACTATTGTTCTTAAGCAACCGTATTTTATTTTCTAAGATTTTAGATACTGCGTATTACTAATATTTTTTCCTATGGTGCCCTAATATACTTAAGTCATTGGCAAGCTAGATACATGTACCCACTGTACCTGTATAGCTTATCTTGTCACTAAAATAAAAATATGAATGATTCCGTGTAACTGAAAATGTTCACTTTTATTTAAGTCGATTATAAAGTCAGAGGTGAAGAGAAAAGACAATAGAAGATGTTACTTTCAAAGATAGGTACTCTCAAGAAACCTAGGGCTCAGGGTAAACTTAACAATAAAACTGTGAACGTATTTTCATGTAATTACAGTAAGGATTTCGGGAGGCACATTTATGTCGTCTTTTTACACCTATATCCGACTATATCGTGTTATTGGTGAGATCACCAACGAGAATATTTGGTTGTGGGTGAAATTATTGACTCGTGGGATGTGGAACTAGCCTTTAATAGCTAATTGTCTAATAATCAAAAGATTTGAACTTGAATTGTAAAGGTTCTTTGTAGACAAAAAAGAAATAGATAAACCCATCTCATTAACAGTTTCGTTTTGTAGAACAAAAGAAGTAAGTACTTAATTGAATGCTTAGTGACTGAACTTTAGGACCTTTACGTTGTAAATGTGATTAGGTATAACCTGTTTTCTTTGTCTTTTACCATCTGATAGACAAGTGAATACTTGTCCCTTTTCATTTATTATGCTGCTTACTTACTTCTCTTTTATGTCGTATAGTTGTATCGTGATGCAACAAAATGCCATCACGTTTATTTCTGTTAAGATGTACTGCATGCAACATCCACCATATTTGTGTACCTACCTATATAAAAATAAATAATTATTTCCCTTGCTCACGGTACGTTGCGTGAGCGAATAGACCTGTGGCATGCTCGTCTGAAGGTTCTTATGAAAAATGACAGTAAATTTCAGAACAATATGGCATGTATTTCATGATCTAACTAGTAATGGAAGGAAACATTAGTTACAATATTTTATACTAATTAAAGACCTGAGCGAGAAGTGGTCAGAATTACATCAACTATTAAGTACATTCGGGCACCTTTACGAAGAATAAGTGGCGTTATGTTGTTATTAACTGTGAATATTTAGACAAACCCATGAAAATGTAATTAACCGTAGCGGATGTGATAGATAATATTTGGCAAGTAACAACGTTATAGCTGATGTGCAATAGGAAGCTATAAACTGACTATTTGATGGGCTATTAAACTGTTCTTACTTTACACACCACTTAGCACTTTGTATGGCCTGGGGCCAATCAAGCAGTTTTATAGTATATGCTTTTTTATTTATAATAAAAATGAATCCCTTTTTCTCCTGGTCACGGCATCACGCGTGAACGGCTGGATCGATTTCACTAATTCTATTTTTGTTGTATTTGTTATTATTGTGAGAAGGTTCTTATTGAAAAATCCGAATCCTGGAAATCCTACGGGAACGGGAGAAAATGGGATTGCGTGTACGAAGTCGCGGGCAGAAGGTAGTGCTTTATAAAGTAACATGCAGACGCCAGCAGTACCTACTTCATGTTACTGTATGGGACAAACGAGCAGACGGATCTATCGTGGTAAGCAATCAGCGCTGCCCATATTCGCAGCACTAGAGGTATATAAGTTGGCTTTTGGCGTTGGCAACCTTTAATGCAAATAGGGTTTTCTAATGAATCAATCGTTTCGGAAACTGTTCCAGCATTTTGACTAACCTTAGGTCCAGAGGTAGCAACCTACCAGTAGGTACTGTACAGCGTTATTCAGCTGCCCGGCTTTGCCCGGATTCAAATAACTATGATAATACCTATTTATACAATAATACGTAATAACTGCCTCGTTGGCCGGGTGTGTGCAAGTGCGACTGCTGGGCAACCCCTCTCGGGTTCGATTCCCGGGTTGGGCAAAGTATAACTGAGGTTTTTAAAAATTTTCATTAGTAACACGGAGTCTGGAATTGTGCACGGTATATGGTAATAGGCTCACCCTTTAATATATTTGTGCATGGGACTCATAACATAAATAGTGAACAATGGCTGTTACATTATACAGTGACAATAAGTGCCGTAGTATCTACTCCTTCGGGGATAAAAGGCGTGATGTTATGTAATATGTAATAAATTCTAGCCTTGAAATATTACTTTTGACTAAATAATAGGTGAGTAATTAACAATACATAACAATAACATGATAAACTTTTGGAAAAATAGCAATATATTATTTTTTAGGAGCTAGGTAGGAGAGCCTAGTGTCCTAGAGGAGGTTTCTTCTTATCTTCTAGTAGTAGTGAAACTCCGATGAGAGGTGTTGACAAGAATGATTTTATTTCGCCAAACTACGCTACTTATATTTCTATTTACATATTTACAACTAGACAAGATCAGATATAGTTAGGTAATAGTTTCGACCAATAGCGGCGCGCCGGCGTGCGCGGGGCGCGCGGGGTGCGGGGCGCCGCTTTGCACACGGCACTATCGGTTCCTTCCGTATAAGTATGACCGCGCGGCGCGAGCGCGCGCATTTCTCCGAGAGCCGGCGTTGAGTGAAGACTGAAGACTACCTACAGATGAATGAAGAATGAAGATGAATGCAAGTACTCCGGCTCTGCTTGCGCTGCTTGGCTGCTTGCTTTACCAAACCGCTTCTTTCGAAGCGATCGCTCGCGGCACGGTGTGATAACGCTGTTGCCGCAGTGATGATTATCGTTTCTATGCAAGAAAGTCGAAAACTGTCTTTTTCAAGACAATTGGTTTCTGGTTTCTTAAAACGGAGTCAAAACGTAAACTGTCTTTTTCAAGACAATTGGTTTCTTGTTTCTTTAAACGAAGTGAGTCTATAACTTTGGTAAAGGTATTGTGGAAGGTATCTGGTATATGGAAAGGTATTCGGTGGTACTGGTAACTGGTAGGTATGTAGTCGTGCGGTGCGGCTACAGTACTCCCCCCCGAGCGAAGCGTACTGGGGTCTTGACGATTCTTCCTGTTCGCGTTTTTCGTACATCGCTGATGCTCGACGGAGGTTGACTGGGTTGATCCTGGATAGCCTCTGGTAGCGTTGCACAGTTGTCCGAGTTATCGTAATTAATGACGTAGGCAGGCTTCAGACGCTCGATAGACACGTTGGTAGTACCTCTAGGTGTTTGTAATGTGAAGTACTTGTCGCTTCTGCTGGAGACTAGGTACGGACCCTTGTACGGACGTTGCAGCGGTTTGCGAACTGCGTCGTCACGTACAAATACGTGGCTGCATGTTTGCAG